ACTTTTTGCACCAAAGTACATTCATCTCTAGGAGACAGAACGCGTCTTCTTCCTGAGCGGTATGACGGCTGCGTGGTCCCATCGTGTTTATACTTGCACTGAGTTTGAAGGTAGGCCTTGAAATACATCCACAGGTATACCTCCAATTGACTCAAATGATGTCAATTAGCCTATCAGAAGCTTCTAAAGCCACAACATCATTTTCTGGAATTTTCCAAGCTGTTTAAAGGCACAGTCAACTTAATGTATGTAAACTTCTGACCCACTGGAATTGTGATACAGTGAATTATAAGTGAAATAATCTTTCTGTAAACAATTGTTGGAAAAATTACTTGTGTCATGCACAAAGTAGATGTCCTAACCGACTTTCCAAAACGATAGTTTGTTAACAAGAAATGTGTGGAGTGGTTGAAAAACCAGTTTTAATGACTCCAACCTAAGTGTATGTAAACTTCCGACTTCAACTGTACATGATTCCATGTGTTATTTCATAGTTTTGATGTCTTCACTATTATTCTACAATGTTGAAAACAGTAAAAAATTATTGAAAACCCTTGAATGAGTAGGTGTTCTAAAACTTTTGACCGGTAGTGTATTTTGAATATATTTTTTATTAAAGCCTTACCCTGTGTTTGCTGCGTCTGTATTTCCATTTGTGAACCCGAAACCTGAAAATGATTTAAATGATAGAAAAGACTCTTAAACAAATGAGAACTTATAAAACATCTTCACGAAGGCATATTAAACAACTAACACATTTTCCTTTCAATTTGATAATTTGCGACACATGACAATGCCAGTTCACAGGCATCTCAACACTTTGTGATGACTCATGTCTGCATCCCCATCTCCGGAATGCGGAGACAATGAACGACATTCCGACGTTTGTAACCACACTAACTATGAAAAGTTTTTAGCATAATGTAGACATGCCATCATCCAATTAATACACTATCTCTGTACCTTACCTTCCATAGCGACATATCCGAACTGATTTTCTCGGTTTTCTCACTAGCCACAGTCACCCGTCAAGGGTTTAATTATTAACAGGAACTTGATAAGCAATTGAGAGGAAATAACATACCCTAACCTACTTGCTCTGCAGGCTACTGCTCCACTCTGTATATTTCTTACTTAGGCTAATGTAATATAGAACATATAAAATGTTTTACAAATTATAACAATTGTTAAAATAAGATCTTACCAAAGCACGGAACCAACAAGTTCCTCAAATGTGAATTATAAGTGACGGGTATTTCAGTGCTCTTGTGACCAGCGAGTGCGGGAACAGCTCCATTTTAGAAAAATGGCCTTGGCTTAGCTAACTATTTCATAAATGTTGAAACTCTTAGGATTCCCTGCTGGCATCACCTGCATGTCTGACAAATTCCACTAATGAGAGACGATGCCATGACATAGAGGCTTTGTACAGTATTGGTCATTACGCTGAGGCCTTTTGTCTTTGACACTTCAACCCAATTTTCCTCCAGTGCACAAATCTGTTGCTGTCATTCATAGTTGGCATGTGATGCCCTCATTGGCTTGCAATGATGCATTGTGAAAAGCCCTCTGCCTAGTTGTTTTCTCGTTTAAACAGTGAATGTATCTCTTTAATTCTCACAGATGTGTGGTTTTATATAAAACCAAATTGCACAGCATCCTTTATTTCTAACTACAAATACATGTTTTCCACAGGCCATGGAGACTGAAAGTATAGGCTACATTTTAAATAGTCCTTTCTGTCAAATGTAAAATCTGTAAAACATATTTTTTATAGATTTCAGATTGTACATTTGGCTCATATATTCAGTCGAAGCAGCCAATGAGTAAATCCTCCATAGTGCTCCCAGTCCCAGAACAATTATCTGTTCTATCTGCACATTTCAGCAACAATGCCCTGAGACAAAAGTCAAGTAGATCAATCTGAATCAATTACGTAATGTGTTTTTGGATTACTGTATGTTTTGGGGTTTCTCGTGATGTAATAGGCCTATGTGATAATGTACATGGAAACATTGTAAGCACATCATTCTTTCCCATTATGGACAGTTCAGTTTCTTCTCCCAGCCTGACTGCATGGTTGACTGTAAGAGCAGGATGTACATGTTAGTGCTAAGAGGCAATGTGTAACTTTTTGGGAAACCCGACCAAATTCACATAGAATTGGTAGTTCTAGATCTGTCATACTCATTGAAAGCAAGTCTAAGAAGCTGTAGATCTGTTCTATGTGCACCATTTTCTATGCTTACCGTTCTTACATTTCGTTTTTTGCTTACTTTCGGTTTTGTAAACCAGCGTCAAACAGCTGAAAATACAATATTTTTGGTTATGGAAAATATATTTCACAGCTGTTTTGATGGTACAGTGATTCTCTACACTATACTTGTTTGTTTTGTCTCAAACTCAAATTAGGCGAACTATTTGAATTTTAGCAAACAGGAAATGTCAGAGCGATTTCTGCATAGTGCGTCTTTAAGGCTTACCATGGATCTAAACGTGAATTTTGACTTGAGGTCCTGAGAAATCATAGTTAATGGCCTGAGTAGACAAAGGAAGCACAAGGGGCTTTGCTACCGGCCAATTACGTTAATCAACTGAATGGAACAAGGACACAAACCTGAGAATAAAAATAAAATAGGATATATTTGTTCCATATGGAAATCTGCATGGACAATGAAGATAAACGAGTCAGTGTTTATATTTTATTAACATATGTTACATTTTGCAATAAATGTCCAAGTCACACTTTCTGATCCAACTCAGAAAGTCTGAATCAGCACCTACAGTAATGTACTGTATTCTTTCTTATTTTCATTCATACAGGAGAACACAAAGAGCTTTCAATTAGAATGTACACCCATCACTCATTGGATATTCTGTTGCGGTCATGTAGGCTACAAAGTAGGGACTGGAGAAAAAGAGGGAAGGGAAGGGAATCTCAGAGTAAACAGATAAGCAGCATGCGTGGTTTGAAAATAATATTCCCTAAAAGATTCCTCCTTCTAGCACGATGTGGACCAGCAATTCACAAAATCTTTTCACCAGAATAAATCACCCAGGGATTTCAATGTGTTGTTTTTCACTAAAAGGTAACATTAATCTTGCAGGCACAACTGGATAATTAGGCCATCTACTCATCCAGTTGGTGACATGGTAATTGAAACTAAGCATTTAAGACCCCAAACTCAAAAAGTGTGACCGAAACAATGCCATGCACACATTGTGTATTATGGGTATTGAAGTCTGATGTCTAACATTGGAATGCATCCATGACCAAAGATATTGATTTAAACTTGGAGAAATGTAGGCATGGGGAAATAGGCTTCCTTATAAATATACTGTAATTATAACTTTTGACAACCAAAAGCATACAAATAAACATAGGTTATTTGAAAGTATAGAAAATGATATAATTGGACAACAAGTGTGGATTACATGAATGACAAATTTGTTATAAAGGTTAACGGTATTACACTTCGCAAAACCAACTAAATTACATCTTATGGAGTTTCACAATGACCGCTTTTGGTCTCTTCAAAATGTTATCTTCAACAATTTCCCAATTACTTGTTTTTACCTATGGTTATTTAAAGATGGGATCTTGCATTATGAGCCCGTATACATTTCCCATAAAATGTACTATAACTTTACAGAGAAACTTAAAAGGAAATGGGAAAATCATGAGGCCAAAACATTATTTCCGAAGTACTAACAAAAAATGATTCAACTCTACTCTAAAACTGCAAAATTCTTCACCAGCACAAAGGATTAAACGATTCCCATTCCCTTACAGAATGCCATATCAGTACAATAACTTCTATGCATTTTGAGTCACCAAATTAAAATATTTCAATTTAACTATAGCAAAATCCCATTGCACTTGACATTCTGAGCAATAGAGATCTTGGGAAAAGCATGCCAATTACATTGGACAGATATACTCCACAAGTCTTTTCTGTGTACTCTACTGTGGTCAGACTGGTGAGTGGGCATTGAGTTTCCTCAGGGACCCCGGGCCGGAGGCATAGTGAAAGGCAGGACTGCAAAGCCCAATAGAGATGATGACCGTGTGTCTCCCTCAACCTTGCAGTAAGCTGGAATCAACAACATGTTGCCAGCCATCTACCATAAACATAAAGCCTTCATTTCTTAGAAAAATAAAACAAAAATAATCTTTACAAAGGTAAAATTACTTATTTGAACAATGAGCAGCAACATTTATTTAAAATATTAAAAATGTTGTATTTTAAACTACAGCAAAAAAAGTAATCATACCTGAGGATGAACTGCAACTAGACCCTAAAAGAAAAGAGCCTTTACTTAACTGCAATAAACTCTTTGTTGATGAGTGGACTTGTCACCTACCAGAATGTCCCAAACACACAATTTGCAATAACATCGCTATACTTATCAAGAGCTTTAAACTCATGCCAGCAGTATGAAGTCTAAAAATGAGGGATATGTATCAACTTGTACATGGTGACAAAGATGATAATCATTAACCTTACCAGGGGCAAATTTGTCATTCTATATCTTCCAAATATCCAGTAGTTGGAACTCATACTGTAAGCCAATCAGAGTGTACAAATATTCACCAGAATCTGAGTATTTTTTGCTGAAAAACCAATATTTCTGGCTTCAAAACCGCTTCCAAACCAATGTGTTACTGGGCAAAATTGTGCTTTCAAACCAATGTGTTACTGGGCAAAATTGTGCTTTCAAACCAATGTGTTACTGAGAAAAATTGTGCTTTCACTTTAAGCTTATCAAATTTGGTTTCCTTGTTGAAATCCACACAGTAAATAACTTAAATAAAACACACACACTGTTAGTCTTTAGGGCATGATTGTACACCAAACTCCACATAAACCAAGGCTGTGGCAGTAACACCCTCACTGCATATTTGTTAATACCACATGATAAGATTCCTATATGTTTAATAGAGGCAGACACATAAACCAAATAGATTATTTTCCACCAGGGTGTGGGTTCAGGTGACCTTATAGCCCGTTGTAGTGAGGTCCCCAGCGCTTGTTGATGTGATCGAAGGTGTGCCAAACCCACTGTTGCTCCAGCACTCTATACCTCTCCACACATAGAAACAGGGGCTTGCCACGACTGCAAAAAAAAAAAAAGTGATTTAAAATGAAGTCTTTATTTTCTTACAATTTTCAGCATAGTCCCCACCACATCAACCATTCTAGTGAGAATCTGACAAGAAGATTGTGTGAGACATGAAACTGAAGTGTTACGCAATGGTCCCCTGTAGCTCAGTTGGTAGAGCATGGCGCTTGCAACGCCAGGGTTGTGGGTTTGTTTCCCACAGGGGGCCAGTATGAAAATGTATGCACTCACTAACTGTAAGTCGCTCTGGATAAGAGCGTCTGCTAAATGACTAAAATGTAAAAATGTCTACGGAGTGTATTCGTACCGTAGATCGCGGTCCTCCTCTCCATGGGCATCCAGGTAAACAGAGCCCCACAGGCAAAAGCGATGCCCTCGGATGATTATGATGACAGAGGCGTTGATTAATAGGAAGATGCCCGTTGCTGCGCCACAGTGTTGAGAGTGCTAAAGACAGACACAAACAACATCTTCACCGAATCACAGTCATCTGCACACAGCAGCACCACCCAAGCAAGCAATAATATTCATCAATGACCTAAAAATTATGCACTTCGGCCACCCAATGAGTAAGACAGATTTTTAAAGACTGTTTAAAATCATGCTGTTTCTTCAGATATAGTCTGTAATATGGCCTTCGAAAAAGCAGGGCCACTCACCAAAACACATTCACAGATCCCCTGCTGCTTGCAGCACAGCCCTTTGAGGCAGACGAAGGCACCACAGACAAGGCAGAGCGCTGGGTCCTTTGGCACCTTTTTGCAGGCAGTGCAGGCCTTCTTGTGGTAGTACTGGAAGATTATGTTGTAGTTGTCAGGTAAGTGGAGGAGGTGGGGGGACGCCCACTGTGGATCCTGGACAAGCAAGGTCTGGATGGAGAAAAAAATAAACCATGTCAGTCACAACATTCAAATTATGAATGCCAACATTGTGACCTAGGCAATCCATTGTAATAGCTTGGATGCCATAGGAGCTGGGGCTCTCGTTCGCTCACTATTGTGCCTTGTCCATGGTAGGCCTACACTTCAGCTGCCCATCACTCAAGAAGAAAGCCAATCCAATCCCTCAAGAGCTGACTCTGAAGTCCCTTTCATTTAACCATGTGCTCTTCTGCTCTCTCTAACCTGTCAATAGTATTTTAAATCAGCAGACTCATCAGGTCGCCTCAGCAGCCTTTAGACATTGAAGAAAATATGACATAGCAATTTTATCCTGCTCCTTTAAGCATCACCCCAAGAAACACTTAGGTTACTGTACATTAATTTCAGTTGGGGCATTTTGTCTCTCCACTTGTTTCAATAGGGATTTAGGAAATAAGTAAGTTTTAAGCCTTCCACTGAATAACTTGTCAAGAGTTCCTATATGCCACATTTTCTGTATGCCCTTCAGCTCCAGGGTGTGACAAATAATAATGTCCACAGTTGAAAGGTATGTGGAAACAATCCAGAATGGCAGTGTGAAGCGATGTGGGGTTTCATCTTGTGATGTAAGGCAGCAAAGGTCAATGCTGAATGACAAAGGCAGGGTGTGAAAAACATTACTCTCGCAGGGGCTATATTCAGCACTGAATATAGAGGGGCTATATGCAGCACTGGCTAAAATAAAGGGCCTGAAATGCCATGGCTAACACATGGTGTCAATACTATTTTCTTTTTAAAAACACTATAGTGAAAAACAATGACACCACCATTGGTGCTTTGGAGACGTTATAATGGAGCACACCGATTGGTGGTTAAGTGCTCAGCCTCAAACCTACTATTGCTTTCTCTGCCTGAGTGTCAGAGAGCCCCGTGACCTCAGAGCACCATTGAGTCATCAGGTCGAAAGCGTTGACCGTCCAGTCAAGACATGAGGCACTGTAGATGGGGTTGGATGGTTGAGGGGTCGGGGCCAGGAGCCCTAGACAGCCGGCGAGGCCTGAGAACTCCTCTTCATCCTGAAATAGAACATATGATGAGTTAAAGCCATGGGGTTGGCGCAGCTAGGGTGCAGGCAGGCAGACAAAGAGGTGTGGAACAGTAACAGTAACCGTACCGGGCAGCCTGACAGGTTGTCCCCATAGAGGTGGTGCTGCAGGAGACAGGAGAGGCGGAGGTAGGGCAGGCAGAACCGCTGGAGGCTGTACTCTATGGACTGTGGGGACCACACACAGGAGCTCTGCTGGGGAAGGAAGCACAGGAGTAATGCCTCATCAATAACCTCTCAACAGCTGGCTGATAATGGGGTGATATACATCTCCTTCAGAGAGTACAGATATCAAAGCATTGTTGTTCTGGGTAATGGCCAATTCATCATGTAAGAGAAAAGAGGAGAAAACCAGGGGGGTATTACCAAGAGAAATGGGGCTAGCCAAGCACAGAGTTTGGCAGCTTTGTTTTGAAACATGAAACGGTATATTATATTTTTTCCACAAACTCTATATGGCTTACCATAGACGTCTCTTCAGCGTTCACATCATACACAGTCTTCACCTTGGACAGCTCACTGATGACATGGCTGAGAAGAGCGTCAAAGGACTTCTCGGCATTGAAAGCATTCTGTGGGAGAAAAGTCAAAAAGTAGTGGAGAGGTGACAGAGTACACAGTACTATAGAATAACACCACTTTGAAACAATTCAGCTTGTTCCCTGGAAAAGCTTCATATGATATTCAAGCAGTCAACAACTGAAGTATTTGAGATGTGCTGCAGTGTCCATCTTTCCCCCTCCCTCTAAATGTGCAGCACTGTATAATATAATAACGTATGCAGAATAAGTAGAGGATACATTTTCAGGCAATAAAATATTTGACCGTTGATAAGCGCCAAGACATTACTGAATGTGTTTTCTGATAAAATTCAACTGGTTTGACTAATATTTTATATGGCGTAAAGCTGCTAGCATTTATCAAGTTGACGATGGGAGAATATAAAATAGCAGCAAGTCTTATCTAGCCTGGCGTTCTCCGTCCTAGATTTATAGCTGGAGGAATTTGGAGTCTTTGGATTTCCTTCCTCTGGCCTCGGGATCTCGGTTGAGACTTTGGCATCTTTTTATCAACTGCAATTTAAATACATGGCATCCCTCCCAATATGGCCTGTGTTAACAATGAGGATTTCCGAGCAGTCTTAAATGACAGCTCGTGAGCGAGTAAGTGCTGCATTGTTCGTGACGGAGTGGGGGAAGATATTCAGCCGCGCCACAATAAATAGAAAACACCCTAAAGGGTGGGCATTTTGCGGTTTGTCCATTTACATTCCAACCAACCACTCGCTTATACAGATTTAATAGACTGAAGATGAAAAGCCAATTAATGCCAGCCCTCTCCGGTAATCACTCTCCTTGATATTGATGATCGACATATCTACAGTCCAAACTGCTTAAATTAACTCGGCCAGACAAAAATATTTATTTGCATTCACACATTCATTTTCCACGGCTGTAAACAGGTCCTGGGAATAACAAATAGAAAGTGCAGAGCCACCGCGTGCACTGGCTTCTCAATCAAGGGACGTTTCCTAAGGTAACTTGGTAGAGTACAAGGCAGCAGTACAGTGAGAAGGGTGGGTGATATCACCATTACCTTGTTGAGAGCTCCAGACGTGCTCCAGGCCCGCCTCTCCTCAGGGCTGAACTTGGCTGAGAGAGCAGCCAGAGCCTGGGTGTACTGCAGGTTGTACAGCATCCTCACCAGACAGATGAAGTGTTCTGCAGGGACAGAGAGAGAGGAGACACACCCACGTTAGGTGCCCTGGTATTGGAGGAGCAAACAAATAGTGTTGGGCTACTCACACTACAGTGAGGGGAAAAAGTATTTGATCCCCTGCTGATTTTGTATGTTCGCCCACTGACAAAGAAATGAGCAGTCTATAATTTTAATGGTAGGTTTATTTGAACAGTGAGAGACAGAATAACAGCAAAAAATCTAGAAAAACGCATGTCAAAAATGTTATAAATTGATTTGCATTTTAAATGAGGGAAATAAGTATTTAACCCCCTCTCAATCAGAAAGATTTCTGGCTCCCAGGTGTCTTTTATACAGGTAACGAGCTGAGATTAGGAGCACACTCTTAAAGGGAGTGCTCCTAATCTCAGCTTGTTACCTGTATAAAAGACACCTGTCCAGAGAAGCAATCAAACAATCAGATTCCAAACTCTCCACCATGGCCAAGACCAAAGAGCTCTCCAAGGATGTCAGGGGACAAGATTGTAGATCTACAAAAGGCTGGAATGGGCTACAAGACCATCGCCAAGCAGCTTGGTGAGAAGGTGACAACAGTTGGTGTGATTATTCGCAAATGGAAGAAACACAAAATAACTGTCAATCTCCCTCGGCCTGGGGCTCCATGCAAGATCTCACCTTGTGGAGTTGCAATGATCATGAGAACGGTGAGGAATCAGACCAGAAATACACGGTAGGATCTTGTCAATGATCTCAAGGCAGCTGGGACCATAGTCACCAAGAAAACAATTGGTTACACACCACGCCGTGAAGGACTGAAATCCTGCAGCGCCCGCAAGGTCCCCCTGCTCAAAAAAGCACATATACAGGCCCGTCTGAAGTTTGCCAATGAACATCTGAATGATTCAGAGGAGAACTGGGTGAAAGTGTTGTGGTCAGATGAGACCAAAATCGAGCTCTTTGGCATCAACTCAACTCACCATGTTTGGAGGAGGAGGAATGCTGCCTATGACCCCAAGAACACCATCCCCACCGTCAAACATGGAGGTGGAAACATTATGCTTTGGGGGTGTTTTTCTGCTAAGGGGACAGGACAACTTCACCGCATCAAAGGGACGATGGACGGGGCCATGTACCGTCAAATCTTGGGTGAGAACCTCCTTCCCTCAGCCAGGGCATTGAAAATGGGTCGTGGATGGGTATTCCAGCATGACAATGACCCAAAACACACGGCCTAGGCAACAAAGGAGTGGCTCAAGAAGAAGCACGTTAAAGTCCTGGAGTGGCCTAGCCAGTCTCCAGACTTTAATCCCATATAAAATCTGTGGAGGGAGCTGAAGGTTCGAGTTGCCAAACGTCAGCCTCGAAACCTTAATGACTTGGAGAAGATCTGCAAAGAGGAGTGGAACAAAATCCCTCCTGAGATGTGTGCAAACCTGGTGGCCAACTACAAGAAACGTCTGACCTCTGATTGCCAACAAGGGTTTTGCCACCAAGTACTAAGTCATGTTATGCAGAGGGGTCAAATACTTACTTCCCTCATTAAAATGCAAATCAATTTATAACATTTTTGACATGCGTTTTTCTGGATTTTTTTGTTGTTATTCTGTCTCTCACTGTTCAAATAAACCTACCATTAAAATTATAGACTGATCATGTCTTTGTCAGTGGGCAAACGTACAAAATCAGCAGGGGATCAAATACTTTTTTCCCCTCACTGTAGATAGTCTTGGTCAGACTGTTTCATTTTGAGAATAATAACAGATTCATAATTAAGTTGTTGCCATTCTCATTGGAAGAAACACTGTCATGGATGAAAATCTGCTTAACATAAAAACAGGAATATGATTGCAACAAAGTTATTCATTTTGGGAGAATATGCAAATACTGCCCTTCATTTGCATTTTTCTTTAGTAATAATTATGTGCATGAATAGAGCATCCTAGCAATCAGCCAAAATAGGAAATCACAAGAGCCAAGATGTGTTCTCTACATAGACCAATTACTAAGTGGAACCGTACATTAATACTTGATACAAACACAGTACATCATCTCTTCCCAATGACTACTTAGAACACCTTGTTAAATAGAAAGCAGTTTCATTTATGTTTAACAGTAAAAGGAGTGCCTTAAGGGAGGCCTAGAATGATCTGTAAGAGCTGGACAATGCGGTTGCCTTCAAAGAAGATGAAACCTTTTTATTGGGCTAGAACACAAGTCAATAGGTTGGGTTTGGTCTCCAGAGGAATGCTCCTGTGTTTATAAAGGCTCATCAAATACACTTGTAATTAGCAGGGGGAACCGGGCCGGCCAGGTGGGAGATGTGATTTGAACCGACAGAAACACAATTAGCTCCATTATTTCCCCTCCTCAGGAGAGTGGTGGTGGTGACAGGTCCACTGTACTGGCCATTGTGTTGCTTGTCGGCACATTAACAACACACAACACCTTTACTGCTATGAAGGACACACAGGCTGTTAAGAACCCCCCGCCCCACCTCTCCCTCCTATCCACTCTAAATGAGACAAAAACCCAGACATGTCCTGACCTCCATCTCCATGCCACAGTTAAAATAAAATAAAAGACTTCATTCACGCCCATCTCGCATAGTGATGTTTTAAAAATCAATTCTCCATGTCATAAGGAGGGCCTTAATGATGCTTATTTGGCTTAATCAATGTGGAATTGAAAAAGATACAAAGTCCATCTCAAAGTACATAAGACATTGAGTGCCGTTTTCCCCGGCAGACTGAAGCGCAATGTAAGGAGGTGTTATTCAGTCAATAGGGAGAAGAGCTCTTACAGCTGAGAAATGGCATTCCCTTGAGAAAACAAAACCTGTCACAGCTATATCCCCTCACCAATAACCAATACCACCTCAGGCTCTTTAAAAACACTCACCATGTACAATTGTATTGTACTGTATATTGGTTTAACCTCTTAGGGATTGGACCCTTTTTCAATTTTCGCATAAAATGACATTCACAAATCTAACTATCTGTAGCTCAGGACTTGAAGCAAGAATACGTAAAAATGTATGCACACATGACTAAGCCGCTTTGGATAAAAGCATCTGCTAAATGGCATATTATTATTATTATTATTATTATTATTATAATACGCATATTCTTGATACCATTTGAAGGGAAAAAGTTTGTGGAAATGTGAAATGAAGATGCCCTCAATCTCACACAAATTATCAACGAACCTACCAGGTACAACCCTAAATCCGTAAACATGGGTACCCTCATAGATATCATCCTGACTAACTTACCCTCTAAATACACCTCCGCTGTCTTCAACCAGGATCTCAGCGATCACTGCCTTATTGCCTGCGTCCGTAACGGGTCCGCGGTCAAACGACCACCCCTCATCACTGTCAAACGCTCCCAAAAACACTTCAGCGAGCAGGCCTTCCTAATTGACCTGGCCCAGGTATCCTGGATGGATATAGATCTCATTCCGTCAGTACTGCATTAGCATCAAATAGCCCCCGCGATATGCAACTTTTCAGGGAAGTTAGGAACCAATATACACAAGCAGTTAGGAAAGCAAAGGCTAACTTTTTCAAACAGAAATTTGCATCCTGTAGCACTAACTCCAAAAAGTTTTGGGACACTGTAAAGTCCATGGAAAATAAGAGCACTTCCTCCCAGCTGCCCACTGCACTGAGGCTAGGAAACACTATCACCACCGATAAATCTACAATAATCGAGAATTTCAACAAGCATTTTGCTACGGCTGGCCATGCTTTCCACCTGGCTACCACTACCCCGGCCACCAGCTCTGCACCCTCCGCTGCAACTTGCCCATGCCCCCCCCGCTTCTCCTTCACACAAATCCAGACAGCTGATGTTCTAAAAGAGCTGCAAAATCTGGACCCCTACAAATCATCTGGGCTAGACAATCTGGACCCTTTCTTTCTAAAACTAGCTGCCGAAATTGTCGCAACCCCTATTACTAGCCTGTTCAACCTCTCTTTCGTAACGTCTGAGATCCCCAGAGATTGGAAAGCTGCCGCGGTCATCCCCCTCTTCAAAGGGGGTGACACTCTAGATCCAAACTGTTACAGACCCATATCCATCCTGCCCTGCCTTTCAAAAGTTTTTGAAAGCCAAGTCAACAAACAGATCACCGACCATTTCGAATACCACCGTACCTTCTCCGCTATGCAATCCGGTTTCCGAGCTGGTCATGGGTGCACTTCAGCCACGCTCAAGGTCCTAAACGATATTATAACCGCGATCGATAATAGACAGTACTGTGCAGCCATTTTCATTGACCTGGCCAAGGCTTTCGACTCTGTCAACCACCGCATTCTTATTGGCAGACTAAATAGCCTTGGTTTCTCAAATGACTGCCTCGCCTGGTTCACCAACTACTTCTCAGATAGAGTTCAATGTGTCAAATCGGAGGGCCTGTTGTCTGGACCTATGGCAGTCTCTATGGGGGTGCCACAGGGTTCAATTCTTGGGCCGACTCTTTTCTCTGTGTATATCAATGACGTCGCTCTTGCTGCTGGTGACTCTCAGATCCATCTCTACGCAGACGACACCATTTTGTATACATCTGGCCCTTCATTGGACACTGTGTTAACAAACCTCCAAACGAGCTTCAATTCCATACAACACTCCTTCAGTAGCCTCCAACTGCTCTTAAACACTAGTAAAACTAAATGCATGCTCTTCAACCGAACGCTGCTTGCACCCGCCCACCCGACTAGAATCACTACTCTCGACGGGTCTGACCTAGAGTATGTGGACAACTACAAATATCTAGGTGTCTGGTTAGACTGTAAACTCTCCTTCCAGACTCACATTAAGAATCTCCAATCCAAAGTTAAATCTAGAATCGGTTTCCTATTTCGCAACAAAGCCTCCTTCACTCATGCTGCCAAACATGCCCTCGTAAAACTGACTATCCTACCGATCCTTGACTTCGGCGATGTCATTTACAAAATAGCCTCCAACACTCTACTCAGCAAATTGGATGTTGTCTATCACAGTGCCATCCGTTTTGTCTCCAAAGCCCCATATAATACCCACCACTGTGACCTGTACGCTCTTGTTGGCTGGTCCTCACTACATATTCGTCGCCAAACCCACTGGCTCCAGGCCATCTATAAATCACTGCTAGGCAAATCCCCGCCTTATCTTAGCTCATTGGTCACCATAGCAACACCCACCCGTAGTCTGCGCTCCAGCGGGTATATCTCACTGGTCATCCCCAAAGCCAACACCTCCTTTGGCCGCAATTCCTTCCAGTTCTCTGCTGCCAATGACTGGAACAAATTGCAAAAGTCTCTGAAGCTGGAGACACTTATCTCCCTCACTAACTTTAAGCATCAGTTGTCAGAGCACCTTACCGATCACTGCACCTGTACACAGCCCATCTGAAATTAGCCCGCCCAACTACCTCATCCCTATATTGTTATTTATTTTGCTCATTTGTACCCCAGTATCTCTATTTGCACATCATCTCTTGCACATCTATCATTCCAGTGTTAATACTAATTGTAATTATTTTGCACTATAGCCTATTTTATTGCCTTACCTCCATAACTTGCTAAATTTGCACACTGTATATTATATGTATTTCTGTTGTATTTTTGACTTTGTTTTGTTTTACCCCATATGTAACTCTGTGTTGTTGTTTTTATCGCACTGCTTTGCTTTATCTTGGCCAGGTCGCAGTTGTAAATGAGAACTTGTTCTCAACTGGTTTACCTGGTTAAATAAAAGGTGAAATAAAAATAAAAAAATAAATAAAAAAGATCTGGTAAAAGATAATACAAACAAAAAAACATGCGTTTTCTATTTATATTTTTGGTCCATCATCTTCGAAATGCAAGAGAAAGGCCTCAATAGAATATTGCAGTTTAGGCGCAATTTAGATTTGCGCAGTGTGCAGTGTGTGTGCAAAGTTTCAGATTGATCCAGTGAAGCATTGCAATACTGAACTATTTTGTATCAAGTCTGCCCAAATGTGCCAATTTGGTCAATTGATGCATTTTCAAGTACATAACTATAGAGAACATACACAAATTATATGGTAATACAAAATGTAAGTTTATACACTCCCAGGAATGTCATACATGATGGATCATTAGCTTATACACTAACTTTCACACATCTAGATGGCCGGGCGGGGTGGGTGTGGAGCCAGAGATAGCAGGGGTTCAAACTGTAGAACAGAGTTCTTACATTTGAATATAAAAATGGATTTTATCAAACAAAACTATCCTACATTTTATCTCTGGGACCCTTAGGATGACAAATCAGAGCAAGATTACTGAATGTAATTACATTATTTACCTTCAGAGATGAATGTTTCAAACCAGTTGCCTTGATAAGTGTTTTGTTGTTGTGCACTCTCCTCAACAATAGCATGGTATTTTTTCACTGTAATAGCTACTGTACAGTGCAGTTAGCTTAACAATAATTTAAGCTTTCTGCCCATATAAAGACATGTCTATGTCCTGGAAAGTTTGCTGTTACTTACAACAGTCATGCTAATCACATTAACGCACGTTAGCTCAACAGTCCCGTATACGGGACACCGATCCCGTAGAGGTTAACAGAGTTGAGTATAGCCTATATTTCAAAGTATTCTACATGTCTCCCCTGTTCTGATGCTAGGATAGATATTTAGGCCTCATACTGCCTCAGTGTCCATGTGTTCAGTCAGCACAGCTTTGTATGGCATGGCACCCATTAAGAAGGCCTATGATTGCTGCAATTTGGCCTCCAATGTGGTGGCCCTCCCCTCGGGCACGGGGCTGAGCCTGGAGGAGATCAAACATGAAGCACTCAGCTGGAGATGAAGGGCATGTGAAGGGTGCACGGCTTCCATAAACAGGGCGATGTCACTCTGCTCCTCACAGCCAAAAATAGAGGGAACGGAAGAACAGATAAGAACCCTCCCTACATTCAGTCATGATTAGGACTGATAATGGTCTGTCATTCTGACCAAGCCAATGAGAAACCTCCCGCTGTAGCCTTGTTAACTCCCCTTCCCCCCCGTCCCTCTGGTCTGATGGAGAATTATTTTGTTTAAATAAAAAAATGTCCGGATAGTTAGGACAGTGACAGCACCTTTGCGTAGTGGCTGTGGCATGGTCAACACAAAGATGATGAGCAGGGATGGGCAGTCTCTGAACAGCATGGGGACCTCTGGCCTCTCGTCATCCAGGCATCTGTAGGGAACAACACACTTAAGGTAACGTTTTTTAAAGACATGTTGAAAAACATACAGTACATTCGCATTAAGATAAGAGTAAAGTATTCATTTAAACAAGAAACACCAGGTAGGTAAACATAAACGTCTTATTTTTCCCATGGGTGGAAATGGGCCGGAATGAATTAAGGGGGAACGCACGTTCCGGTTGAATTTGAATACGATCGTGGGTGGATCCTTTGAACAGTTATTATTAAAATGTCCAGTCAAAACGTTGTGCTGTGTTGCTCTTTCTGAACACACCTCAAACCTTGGCTCAAAGACATCTCCAACCAAAGGGAATACACCTCAACAGTCCGTCCCTCAGGTAGGCAGCTAGAAACAGGGATGCTGAGTGACTGAACAGAAATAGCTTCTAATCAAAAGACACAGCTATTTTAGTAACTGCATGTAGGCTCCGGCATGTGCAAGACCCCATGCCTTAAGCTTATTTGTGTGCTTTGTTCAGGAAGACCACTCCTGGTATCTGGTGTTGTTCTAATCCATCCTACTAAAAGTAATCCAAATGATTGTTTACTATATTGAACTCTAACTTCAGTTCATCTTGAATTCTCCATTAGCCTATAACAATTAAAAACATCTTTAACTACCATAACACAACTTTTAAATAGCTGACGCAATCACTGAAATTACTTTTACAGTTTCTCTTCACCCCTTTCTAATCCCCACCACCTGTCAAACAAACAAGTGTATTATAACTGTATATGAAAAGATTCTTACAGCAGCAACAACAAGTAAAAGAGAAAGGAGTGGGAAAAGACAAACAAAAGAGGACATGGACAAGACAGGGTGGGACTAAAAAAATACAAAATAGAAAGAGCAGAGACATCAGATCAGTTTTCCAGTTCAACAGAATATATTTTTAGCAATCGTTTAAGTGGACCCCCTAGCTGGGTTTACCCATTCAATTCTGTCAATTTCCACCCTGATTATTTTCAATAACTATTGGTAGGGGCACGTTAGAGCGGTTATGTACACGCTAAAATACATTGAGCTGCAAAGTAATTGGGACAGTGACATTTTTTGCTGTTTTTCTGGCTCTGTACTCCAGCACTTTGGATTTGAAATGATAAATGACTATGAATGACAGACTATGAAGTGCAGACTGTCATCTTTAATAACCCTTCTACATTCATGTGGATGTTGCCATGACTATGGATAATACTGAATGATGAGTGAATAATGATGAGTGAGAAAGTTACACGCACAAATATCATAAACCCCCACCCCCAAAAAATGCTTGATGTAGTCATTACGTGCTATGAATATGGGACCAAATCCTTCACTTTTTACTACTTTGATACACAAGTGAATTTGTCCCAATACTTTCGTTCCCCTCAAATGGAGGGACTATATAAACAAAAAGCTGTAATTTCTAAACGGTTCACCCGATATGGATATAAACACCCTCAAATTAAAGCTGACAGTCTGCACTTTAACCTCATAGTCATTGTATCATTTCAAAGTGCTAGAGTGCAGAGCCAAAACGAAAAATGTGTCCCTGTCCCAATACTTTTGGAGCCCACTGTAGATGCCCATTGCCTTTATCTTCTCAGGGCCAAGAGCAAAGTCCTCCCTTGAATATATACGCTGCCTTCAGTGGAGGCTGCTGAGGGGAGGACGGCTCATAATAGTAAATAAATCAATCAATCAATCAATCAATCAATAAATAATAATGTCTGGAATGGACAGAATGAAATGGCATCAAACACATGGAAACCATGTGTTTGATGTATTTGATACCATTCCACTTACGCCGCTCCAGGCTTTACCACGAGCCCGTCCTCCCCAAATAAGGTGCCACCAACCTCCCGTGGCTGCCCTTAATTTGCTGTGCACTTAAAACTTGCAATGACGTCACACTTCCAATTGCCCTCTAGGAGTCCTCCACTTTAATGCAGTGGGAGAAAGCAAAGCATTTTTCCTTATATCCCGTGACCCACTTCTATAATGCAGCCCGAGCCACATATTGTTGTTGATTGCCATCTCCATTTAAAATGGCTTCTTTTCATCTGGCTGCCCATAGAGAGAGCCTCCATCTCCACTCAAGACCTCCGGGGACATCGAATGAAGGGAGCTGCACTTACACAATAATGCATTCCATTTTGAAGGCACTCGCCTGTTAATTGTAGCGTGCAATAGAAGAAGACCTTTATGACGCAGCAATCTGCTTTTCATTCCATCAAATTCAAAAGACTTGCCAAGGGTGTACAGCCCACACAACTAAATATGTTTACTTGACATTTCAGTCAAATCCAGATGACTAATAAATAATATGAGCAATGTAGTCTTTCCAAAATAAAACTTATTAAAAAAATGTAAGGCATCCACATAAATTGACATAAGGTTATGAAAAACAGACAGTGTATAGGTCAGACTAGGGCATCGACGTTCTCTGTCCTATTTAAATAGAGCAACATGACTGTATGAGGGTGTCAATGACATAGTTGCCTTCCAAATCCCTTAGGTATTTTGAACACAAAATTGGTCCTCAGACTCCTGCCTGGCTCGGAGCATTTAAATAGTAACAGGTGTAAAAGCGGTCGTCCACTGCTAACAGGGAGGGAGAGAGGTCGTTAGGTCACCTAATAGTGCTAATAGTGGGATGCTGATAGCGCTCAGAAATGAAAACCTGGGAAGCCAAACTATTCAAGACAGAGCACATCTGACCAACAAAAACAAGCTGTGTGGCAAGAGCATGAAGAAAGGGGAGACTATGCTTTGTTACATTTCTCTGATCCTGTGAAAGATGATGCTGGGCAGCGGAGGGCTGAGATGTGCAGTGCGTTGTTTCTCGGTGCAGTGATTGTGACAGGGTCGTTTCGCTCTCTAACAAGCACCCGGTAATTTGCCAGATGCAGCAATTATTGGTATCTATGGCAACCACACATGGTGCCTTCTCGGTGTTTGTCTCCTCTTTGTCTGGAGGAAAAGCTGCAAGGGCCAGGAGGATGTGGGGGTGGTGGTGTTTAGTGTGAGGGGAGAGTGTCACTGTGATTACAGGAAGGGTGTGTGTGTGTGTGTGTGTGTGTGTGTGTGTGTGTGTGTGTGTGTGTGTGTGTGTGGCGTATGTGTTGAAGGGGCTGTTAGGGTAAACTGGGCTCAGGAGAGGGGTGTAGGGATGTCAGGTGGATCTGCAGGACTCGGGGGGGGGGGGGTTACTGATGCAGGGTGCGTGGCTGAGTTTGTGATAAGATAGCAGTATGTGTAGTGGAACTGCAGGGTGAGGAGAGGTGAGAGTAGATTACTGAATGTCTATGTAGTGTAGCTTTAGGATGGCTGTCACTCACTCGTCGCTTCTCTGAGCCACCTGGGTCAACCTGGTCCAGGGGTTGTATGCAGAATCAATGCTGTACAGACGCATGTGCATGGCAAGCACATGGAAAAGCTGATCTGAAAGACAGAAGAAAAACCCAAAATGGATTTAAAATGGTCAGCCAAATAGATCAGAACACTGGCACAGAAATGAGACAGCTACTGTAACTGGCCACCTGCATGTCAGTAGGTCAGTGCCCACTAGCACACCAAGCTATGAGTGTATCAAATGACAAATGCAGTTGACTTGAACTGATTGCACTGAGCGTAATGGTTTGGCTGGGTAGCAGGCCAGGCCAGATGGATAGACGGCACTACTCTGCTCCCAGCTATCCTCTCTGGTCAGGAGTCACACCTGTTCACTGTGGAACATGAAGAGCGCCACACTTTTCTCACACACACACATACCATTACTAAAAATGTAATCTCCTCCTGGAACAGTGTCCTCCTTTAATATTATTAACACCAAAAAAGGAATGAATCTGCTTCTCCTTATAATGGCCTCACAATGGCCCACTAAGGTTGTGCTCATTAGAACCATAGTTAAACAAGTATTTGAAATCTGAAAATCACCTTTTAAATTTACACCTGTAAAGCATACAATAACATATAAATTGGGGGTTTAAGTCGCTCTGGATAAGAGCGTCTGCTAAATGACGTAAATGTAAATCATATGTTCCTAATATAGAGATCTGCTCTCGCGTTGGCTACTTTCTCTCACCCAGAACAACCAAGTGGTCTCAAATACTAATACAGTTTCTTACATCCAACCTTGTCAACAGATCTGTAGCCCAATATATATATATATATTTTGTTTTCTGTGAGTTATGACACAGCTGTAATGCAGCAAAACATTGAATTCCAATGCTGCAATATGGACTTTTGGGTGAGTTGGCTCACTTGACTGTCAAAACTAGAGCAGCACTGCCCTCTACAGCTGATGCATGGTGACAGCAGCAGGATACGACCCAGAGGTCGAGGGAGGTGATTGACTCCACTTCAGTCCCTCCGTCTGTCAGTTGGGGTTAGAGTCCTTCCACTAGAGGACGACAACATGTGAAGAGTGACACTGTGGCGGAAGGATCGCCAGCCAATGCCCTTCAAGCTGGCAGGGAACCAGGCTTCAATTGCTGCTCGCATGGCTAACACCTCTTCCATCAGTCAGCCCCTGCCTGGTGCTTGGTGCTTGGTATGTGCATGCTTCTCATCTCCCAGCCTGCTGCTCTGCGACCCCCACAGCCACACAGTCTGACAGCACCAATAGAGATGCCTTCAGTTTGCCTTCAGATATTGATCTGGCTCTGCTTTCTATTAAAGCTCATGCTATTTGCCATGATCTTTACCCCCCCACTTGTCATCCCTCCAATATAGATTTGTAATGGCTGTGTGACCTATGTTGGGATTAGATTACTTTTACACCACCCCCCCCCACCGTCCCGCGGACAAACACTTTTCAAATGAGAAATTCTCTTGGACACATCTCATCGTGATAGGCCGACACCTACCATTACAGTATTGTATTGGACGTTGAAGGCCATCTTCACTGTAAAGACTACATCACAAGACTGGCCTAATTCAAAATGTTCTCTCTGGCAGATATACCAGAGGCGAGCCATTTGAAGGTGGACTCACCACAGTTGATTTAACACGAGAGATTGCCGGCTCCACTCTCCAGCCTATGACATCCTCATCAGCTAAACGATATAAGTGCCTTGTGGGATATGGGCTTAGAAACCCCCTTGGGTTCTAGTAGTTAGCGTCCCCAATACACCTCCATATCCCATTCCATACGAAGAGGCAACGCTAATGTACTGCAACTCAGTAGATTTATCCGCCAGCGTGGCTAGACGAGTTAATGTAGCTCAGAAAATGGCAGTCCTCAAGTATGAAATCTCTTTTGCCCCACTCAAGGATGACAGGCATCTCACTAGTGCCGCGAGCTGCTCAAATTTATCGCCACTAAACAGTCTAATTAAACAGAGCAGGAAAATGGACTGCTCTCATCCCCAGGCTCAGCTCTGATAGGAGAACATAATGTTTAACACATTAAAGGTTGAAGGTCAAGTTCAAATTACAGACAAAGTACAATAAAGGAGAAACATCTTGGGCATCTTAAGTGAGTCGACCATCCAAAAATCAAACCTTGCATCTTCGTCTACACCTCTTTGAGCATAAGTGTGTGTTGTCCTCCAAATCGACAACCATTGTCGGAGGCTTTGTCTTTGGCATTGTTGTCACAGTGGGCTGAGTCACCTCTCAAGACGGCAACATCACTCGGTCTTCAGCGGGTCACCCTTGCCACACAATCAACTAAAACAGCACTTGACCCATTTGTCCGCTTCATTTACCCTGACGGCAGAACGCGTCGGCAACAGCTCACCTGGGATAGCATCTCTCCTTCCCTGCCACTGCTAATCGACAATCTTTACAAATGGTCCAACAGTTACATGGACGAGCGACTTCAATCTCAACTCAGACACTTTATACACAAAGGCTGATGGGACAAGGCTTCCCACCACACCCAATACCCTCAAGTCACCGTAATCAGCCTGAATTCCAAAAGGACCTTATCATAAAAGAACAGAGACTAAAATACTTCATACTCAACTCTTTAAATCTAAAAAAATATTTCAAAATGTTAATATACGAAACATTGGTCAACGGCTTTACACAAGGTCAACTTCAGATGTACACAATAGCTTAGTGGTCAAGTAGAGGGCAGCACACTTCTTATGAGAAGCTAGGTGAGGGGACTGGTGTAGTGTACTCACTGAGACAGGAGCGCTTGGCTGCAGCACTGGCTCCTCCAGAACACAGGTTCCCTCCACGGTGCACCAGCTCCAGCTCCAGGTTTGTCCTGAGGAAACACAACCATTACTAAACACACACACGGTCAACTGCTAGGGCTTAGTGAGACAGGATGAATATTTTTTGGCATTTGCACAGCCATCTGACAGGAGTTTTTCCCCATTAAGAAACAGTACAGTGGACTATTAACATTCCTTCATTAACATTTACGTCATTTAGCAGACGCTCTTATCCAGAGCGACTTACAGTTAGTGAGTGCATACATTTTCATACTGGCCCCCGTGGGAAACGAACCCACAACCCTGGCGTTGCAAGCGCCATGCTCTACCAACTGAGCTACAGGGGACTATGTCATCTACCTGCTATGGCAGTAGCAACCCAAGAGAGTAGGGCTAGCCGCAACCCAAGAGAGTAGGGCTAGCCGCAACCCAAGAGAGTAGGGCTAGCAGCAACCCAAGAGAGTAGGGCTAGCCGCAACCCAAGAGAGTAGGGCTAGCAGCAACCCAAGAGAGTAGGGCTGGTAGCAACCCACGAGAGTAGGGCTAGCAGCAACCCAAGAGAGTAGGGCTGGTAGCAACCCACGAGAGTAGGGCTAGCAGCAACCCAAGAGAGTAGGGCTGGTAGCAACCCAAGAGAGTAGGGCTGGTAGCAACCCAAGAGAGTAGGGCTAGCAGCAACCCAAGAGAGTAGGGCTGGTAGCAACCCACGAGAGTAGGGCTGGTAGCAACCCAAGAGAGTAGGGCTGGTAGCAACCTAAACGCATCAACGAGTGAAATTATCACCAATATCTGCCTTGGGTAAGGTTACTGACTGGCTTTCCCTCTATTCACCTGTTTTATAAGAAACATCAGATATAGAAGATGTAGCAGACATTTGCTGTTGTGTTTGTACCAGCTATTTCATATCAATAACTGAAATGGTTCAGGGTTTGCACAAGCTAGGCTATTAGCATAAAAGCTGTTCCATCCACAGTTTCCCTTATATAATCTCTGCTCCGAATTTCCCATGCATATCCAAACACATTTCACTTAATATTTCAATTTCTGCCATCAAATAAAGAAAAAAAGTTAAACCATTAGAGAATAAATTGATATTAAAAGCAGATAGGTGTTAAATTAGACTGAACAGGGGTTGTTTTGATCCTGCCACTGGCCGTTTCCTCCCATAGGCTGGTTGGTGGGGGCAAATCCTCGGGCTTCCTGGGAGAAAAAGCAATTTCACATAGATAATGCAGCCATGCCGAGCTTCATCTGGCTGCTACTGATAAGAGCGCCCTTCCGACAGAGGAATTTTCCACTCCTCAGGCAATTTGAGCTGTTCACTGAAATTGAGAAAGCCAACAGGCACCCAGACACAGGGAGCAAGGATTTCTCTCTGCAGGGCACAGGGTGAGAGAAAAATGGGAGGGGGAGAGGTCTGGGAGGGGCCAAGGGCATCCATGACCCTGCCTCTGGTGAGAGAATAGAAATGACGGTTCCATTCTCTAGTCCCTGTAACGCATTATCAATTTCAGACGATGATAAAAGCAGTGCGCCTGCTACATCCGTTTACATCATTTAGAGGAGCACGTTCAAAGAAGGAAGATTAGGGCTCCAACACAAGAAGCAACAAAACTGTGAATAAGTACTCAGGCGAAAAATAACTCAAATCAGTCAAAGGGAGGCAGAGCGATAAATCCATCCAGTCAGAGGTAATAAAGGACTCGGCACAGGATGGTGGAACCAGCCAGAGTCAATACCATTTTCCTGCAGCCTCAATTGACAAAGCTGCTAATGCTGTTTAGAAGCATTTCCAGCGACACCTCCAGCCCCATACAATCAGAGGTATGAATAAAGTCAATCAAAAAACTAACTTCACAGCTACCGAGCAACTTTCAAAAAAATACCACGTAATCTATATATCCGGTGCAAGTACAATGACAAAAATTCAATACGCTTCCACTGTACACTACAGATATTGTACAAAAGCCCTTTTCAAGCAGCCCTCAAGCGAAGTAGTGTGCTCAATGGAAGAAAATAACAAAACAAAAATACAACTAGGCTAAACTCAGGAAATGTTGCAGTTCTCTTTCTGTGCCCAGTCATTGTAATGCAAGGCAGGGAGATGGCTTTAAGAGCACAAAGGAGCGGATCAGACAGGCCAGGCAGCCAGTGTTTTGGCCAGAGGCCACAAGACCAGAGTCAGTGGGCTGCATAACTGAGAGCAGTAGGAGGACCTCCCTGTCTGACTAGAGCACGCATAGGGGTCACTAGCCACGGGAACACAGTCTCACTCACAGAAATGACCTGCAGTGACCAGGCCATCGCTCATCTCCCAGGCCTGCACGACTCACACCATATGTTACCAGGTTGCACTTTCACTTAGTCTCATGGAGCTAGAAATGGAAAATCCTCCATATGACTGTGATAAATGGAGTTTCTCTTCAGTTTCATTATTTTTAAGCATCTCAGAGGAGTCTGTGGTCTCTCACCTGGCCACAGAGTACATGAAGAGGAAGTCGTTGTCAGGGGAACCAGGGTTCTTGCCATAGTCCATATACTTCCTCTGGGTGGTGTTCTTGATGTCCTTGATGACCAACTCCATCTCTTTACTCAGGTTGGACTCCGTCTGGAAGGGAACGGTTACAAAGTGACTACGCAGGATCTCCATTTTGAAATGTTGTTGACTATGGTAATATTGATATAATGGCCACCTACATGTATGCATTTGCAAATCATTAGGATAGTACATGAAACAAACCACAGCAAAGGTTTGGCGGGAGATGACAGGTTAAAAATGAATTGAGGCCAAATTGGAGTAACACCGAAATAGCTACAATTCTGTTGGTGTCAGTCTCATTTGTCAGGAAGTGAAGATGGAGTGATCAGGGTCAGGGGGACAGACTTGGGTGAAGTGGTGTATATCTCTCTGCCTTACAGTGGTGCTTACTGGGAAAAGCCCCAGCTGCTCCTGCAGGTCCTCCACCTCCTTCACCAGCACAGCGGTCTTCTTGTTGGTGGGCATGTGCCAGCTGACCACCTCGGTGCTCCGGCCTGGGCGGCAAGGCAGCACGCTGTTGGCAAACTGTCTGCACAGCGGGCAGGTGAACTCGCCCTTATCCACAGAGAAGCCCTGCAGCACCTGGTCATTCTGGGTAAAAATAAATAAAAAAGACACGTTGGACTATTACAGAAAAACAGGGCAGGTAGGACTGTCCTATGTTATGACCCTTATGTCAATCCATACATTCATATAGATACTCTTACCCGCAGAGACTCCATGTAGGACTTGTGACAGTCTATGTGCAGGGTGTGTCCACAGGTCTGCACATACACACCTCCATCCCAGCCTATTGAGACCGACTGCAGACAGGAACTCTGCGAAACAGGCAAGACAACAGCTCAAGACAAGTAAGAGTCTAGTCTCTTTAAAGTTCCATAACGGTACAATAGAAACAACAGGGGGTTGGTGGCACGTTAATTGGGGAGGACGGGCTCGTGGTAATGGCTGGAGCGGAATGAGTTGAATGGTATCAAATATATCAAACACATGGTTTCCATGTACTCCGTTCCGGACATTATTATGAGCCGTCCTTCCTTCAGCAGCCTCCTTTGATAGAAATATATACAAGAAAGTTGATTTAACTACATTTCTACAGCAGCACTTTTAAGTGCGAGAAAGGCAGGAGGAGCCTTTTCTGGAGAAGGAGACAAGAAATGGCAGAACAGCAGTGCAGCTAAAACCCGAAGACCATGGCAGTGTTTCTTCGTCACGCTGACTAACTGCCTCAGCGCTCCCAGAGAGAGGTAGAGCAGGAGTGAGGGAGGAGAAGCTCTGTCAGGAGGTCTTAATCCTCCATGTCTGATTCTCTCCGTTTTCTGGCTGCTGGAACTGCTGACAGACTGGCAGGCAGGAACACTGGGCTGCTGAAACACCTGAACCCCGCTCAGGAGGAAATGGTTCGACATGCATGATGGGAATCCACTCTGTGCATCAAATAGGCTTAGGGAAAGACTTCACAAAAATGGCAGCGCTTACATTGAAACGCTTCCCTGTGTGTTACAGTGAGACTTTACTAGCTAGATCCAAGACGTAGAGAAAAAACAACCAAAAGGAAATAAAGAGAGAGCGAGGTAGAGAGAGAGCGCGAGGCAGAGAGAGAGCGAGGTAGAGAGAGGGCGAGGTAGAGAGAGGGCGAGGTAGAGAGAGGGCGAGGCAGAGAGAGGGCGAGGCAGAGAGAAAATGTGTTTAAGTGACTGAGTGCGACAGTCAGACACCTACGTCTTTGAAGAAGCGCTGCATGAGCGCGAGTCTGACGTCGTGAGTCGCCCCGCACGTGTCCGCTGGGTAGATGTGCTCATCGTCAGTGGTAGGCAGTTTCTTCGCCTCGTCACTCTTGTATCGGTGTCCCAACACTGAAACAATCAGAGCACGGGGGCTCGCAGTGAGTGACAATGAGCTTTATTATAAATGTATTACCATGAGTAATGAGCTCTCAGATTGCTATTTATAGATCTGCATAACATTTACATAAAACAATCAAGAGCAGCGATTGCTTGGAGAACACGTCATGTTTTAGGCATGCCTGTAGTCAAACGCAGATGTTTTCCCCTTTCCACATCAGGAACAGAGGATAGTGACTGATATATCAGTCGATAATGACAGCTAATCTCCCGCACATCGTCTCAGTAAATCAGTGGCAGTCTGGGGAAAAAATTGCTTCCTATCTATGAAAGGACAATAATGATCTGACAGATAATGTAAACACTAAGTTAATTGTCTTTTGATAGGCGTATTATGAAATAGCAGGTGGCAGATCAAATAAGGTGTCCTTTTGACCTTGAGGCGGGGAGCATTCCCAAACCACAACTAATTACTAATCAAACATGCCGTCTATTTTCATGACATTGAATGATCCTCCTCTGTCCGGCAGCACGGCATAGAAAGGCAGTATGAAAACTAAGCCAGCGATCAACATCAATGATAAATGAGCCAATTAAAACAACAGCTAACCTACCTATTAAAATGCGATTTCCAATATGCTGGTGCTAAGCTGCCATGAATAACTGTGTAGCTTTAACAGGCAAGGGCTGTTCTATGGGAAGTAGATTTTCATATCAATGAAATACACTACCTTTAATTTGACTCCGTATTGCCATTTCATTTGTAGGTGGTTGAAATTGAACAACAAATCAGGACAGTGGTGAGACAAAGGCAGACGGTGTAAGCCATTAATTCAGGTGTGTGACACAATGAGGGGGTTCCTGGGGGGGATGTAGTGCAGAAGTACCTGACGATGCCTGGAGGAGAACCACCAGGCCAGTGGGCCGGTCCTCAGTGGAAGGGCCACTCTGGCCACAGATCACACAGTCATAGAGGACCTCAGACTCCATCACCTCAGAGGCACCCAGGTCCATGGCTGCTTCAGCGTCCGGGGATTCTGACAGACAAACAAAGAAACCACAAAGTGTTACTCTTGGTTCTTTAATACGACACTTTATTAATACCACATTCAAAAGCTTCATCAGAAATGCTGTAGATATATCATATTTGGAGCTGGATAGCAATTTTGCATTCTTAACGGATTTTCTGAACAATTCACATTAAACTAACAGCGAGAAGACAAAACATATTAGAATAAGCGCTTGGAGCTCAGGGAAGATCTTGGCAAACAATGTGCAAAAACCAAAAACTTTAGGAGGTAATGTGGTGTGAAACTCTGCCGTCTTTGGGGCCGGCTAAAACAGGGAGCTAATAAAAATGCCATTAGAGGTGATAACCGGCAGATCTGCACACGTTCCTTCCTAGAAATAATACCATGCTCAATTACCTTGTTCTTTGCTAATTCAGAGCAAATCAATGACTAGTTCTATTAGAGTGGCGCAAACACGGGTCTCAACATTTCCACTTTGGTGAAATAGCATGTATTTTTCAAGTGCATTTTCTCAATTACAGGATGAGAAAGAGTGGGTAAAGTGGATAGACATTGCAAAAGCACAGGAGGCTTTCAGACAGCCTTGCCACTGCATAAGTACACACATTACCACTCTACCTAATGTTGCATTTCCACTTGGAAAGGAATACAAACATCAGACCGTGCCTAGCGTCAATGCTTCCAATAACCACACTTCAGCTCTCTGCTTCCTCTGTCCAAGGGATTGGCGTGGCGCTAGAGATGAATGACTACTGTGAAATTAGTTTTTAAAATGTTAAAGACCGTGTTCAATTTGAACAGTAAATATTGCATAGAAATGTCAACCCGTGTTGGAATTGTTTTATTGCTTCAGGTGGAATATGATCTCGGGAGAGGTCAATGTGTTCCAGGGGAAATAAACAGTTTGCATTAGATGTCAATGGAACAGCTCAGGCCTCAAGCCCTCAGTATACACAGAACACACACAGAGCTGGAGAAGGGCTGGAGACAAGGACACTGGTGTTGCTATGGGGGACTACTGCCTTGCTAAGTTGCTATGCTATTTTTCTCTACTATAGACGTGTAAAATCCTGCAGTCAATATTGTAGCATGATTGTCGCTACAGCTATCACAAAATTTGAATGCTTTCGGATGGCATCTTATGAAGGATGCGTTGGTATTTTTAGCCCTCGAATGGCATAACCTACAACTGCTCCATCATAAACAAATCCCTTTGAGTCAAATATTTATGATATAGATTTTTGTATGTAAATGAGATTCGACAAAGTCATTCTAATTTAGAGCCCATAATAAGCAATGTCACAAGATCCATTTAAAAAGCAGATGCTCACAACATCTGTTGTCCGAGTTAAACGCATGAATGCTCAGAAACAATAGGATCCTATTTTGAAACATATGAGCTTTGGGGTATTCAAATGGGAATCCTTCATGTGGCACACAACTAGGAGTGAGAACAAACACAGTAAACAGGAATTCAAAAGGGGGATTTTGTCAATATACACATAAAACACCAGACATCATTGTACTCCAATATTTCTGTCTTATCTTGGCTTTAGTTTTCCACAAAGAACATACCTACCCACTGTGGCCAAGTGCACCGGGAGATTAATGCTTGAACAGATGCTCTTACCATTGGACCAATTTGTCTTGATAAAATTCCAGTGCAAATATTTATATTCTCTGTGACCTTTGATTCAAATCTGTGAAACAAATGTAGCTCATGAGAAGTCAAGACCATTATTTATACTGATAAGATGGAAACACAAGCTAATCCATTCAATAAATATGGGTCAGAAAGAGTGAAATCTCCATTAAAATGTTAAACCTTATAGCCAATACATTTAGTTGTATTACACCTTTTGACAAAATCAGAAAACACAATTATCAATGCGTATTTCTCTGTCTGCCCCTAGTTGTGCCAATACAGTAGAGGTATGTGAGGTGGATGTTGTGTATGTGAACCTTGTAGCCAGCCAGCCAGGCAGCAGTTAGCCTGAGGGAGGCCAGAGCTGATTCCCAAATGGCACCCCATTTACTTTATAGTGCACTACTTTTGACCGGGGCCCATAGGACTCTGGTCAAAAGTAGTGCACTATATTGGGAAAAGGGTGCCATTTGTGGTCAAAAGTAGTGCACTATATTGGGAAAAGGGTGCCATTTGGGATGCAGGCCTGCACACAAGGCGTCCTGTCGTGCTCAGCCGGAGGTCCGTCCGTAGCCCTGCCTAAGTGCTCCCTCTGATCACAGAGACCATTATTCATCCACTAACCACGCTGTGTCAGGGTGGTCCCTGGGAGTCCATCCCACTATTAGTGCTTTGATCTGCTGTGCCCTCAACCAGCACGGCTCCAACCTCAGAGGAGTGCTTTCCTCTCATTGCTCCTAACAGGCCTGGGGAAACCAGGGAGGCCTGAGGGCTGTGGCCAGTGTCACCTTGCCACATTGAAAAAGGCAAAGCTTTATTTTTTACTTTCCTTCAAGAACTATAATGGAACGGGTGCACAATATGTCCTCAACATGAGTGGAGTCCACTTGAATGTTATAGAGAACCAAGCCCTGTATCCAAGAAGTGCTAGCATATAATAGTGCACATTCTAACAAATATTACAATACATTAGTACATCTAAATGCTTGGAAAGGTTCTGAATAATCAACTTTCCTGTATATTAGAACCCTGAAAAAAACTGACCAAACATTCAGAATAGTTAATAGATGAGGTAACAATATGAATAAGCTTTGAGAATAATAATAATAATAATAATATGCCATTTAGCAGACGCTTTTATCCAAAGCGACTTACAGTCATGTGCGCATACATTTTTTTACGTATGGGTGGTCCCGGGGATCGAACACACTACCCTGGCGTTACAAGCGCCATGCTCTACCAATTGAGCTACAGAGGACCACACACACACACACACACACACACACACACACACACACACACACACACATATATATATATGAATAAATAAAAAAGATAGGAGCGGACTACGGCCCCTTATATGGAAGTGTGGTCCACTATTGGCTGTCACTCCTGTCGGTCTACGACAGACATTGTGTAATTGGATCTTCCTAGACTCCGCCCCTAAAAGGGAACACTATCAATAAGTGAGAGACCGAACAAGTAATTGAAATAGAACCAAATTAAACAGTCGGGGTACTGTCCAATTGCACTTTTATGACAATCTGTCTCATCCATCTTTATCTCCTTCTAGTCACGTGGAGAGGAAGTGACATCGGGATAACAGGAAGTGAAGTGTATTGCATTGAGTGTGTGTGTTTGTTTGTGTGGTGTGTGTCATGTCCTGTTGGGTGAGAAATGCTGCTGGTCCAAATGGGTCACTCCTTACCAACATCCATGGCTGTTTCCATGAAACTCTTCTGTTTAGAGGCAAACTCAGCCAGTAGCTTCTGCTGTCTCTCTCGAGCCCTCTGGCGCCTGAAAGACCAGGAAAAACAAAACTTATCATAGAAGACTTTACATATAAAACTGTCATGATAAAAGTCACAGTCAAATCATTTTACGTAACTGTCAAAGTGTTGCATAGCGTGGAAAGTCTCAAACCTGACACCACCACAAATAAAAACATCCTATCGCATTATTCAAATCAAAATGTACTTAAAATAGAGTGCTGAGACGTATGGCCCAGACTTCCATTATTTTGATGCAGGAGTAATGCCTATTCTCTACACACTGAAGGGGTTAACCCATCTCCATAGCAACAGCTTCCATGGGTAAGTGGAAACGCTTGGTTTCATAAAACACTGAAAGCCCTTCTCTCAATGACTAGCCATTAAATCACCACTACTCACCCACCAATGCATTCCCATTTCCAGACAGTTACTGTCTGTCCGTCACAGATGCTTGTTTTTCCTGAGACGCTACCACAAAAGCATACTATAAAGCCCTCAAACTCAACTCTTGACCTCGAAAGCCAGTTCCTCTGCCTTTTTCATCTTTCCCCTCTAAAATCAGGGACTGATTTAGACCTGGGACAATAGGTAGAAAAGAAAACCAGCAGGCTCCGAAACTCGTAGGGTAAGAGTTGAATACCCCTGGTATAAAGTGTGAGATGAACTTTGTAGCATTGGATACGATACATACAAAGTAGGAGTCTGATTTGAATAAGGCTACAGTATGTGACTGGGTGCTGGGTTGGCAAGGTGATTATTTCCCTGATGTGGCTGGCTGTAGCTCCTGTGCAGACTTCCAGGGAGCAGGGTTGAATGTAAATAGAGACTCCTAATAAGAGGACATAAACAAACGGTGACAGGAGTGCCACAGCTCAGTAATTCCCACTGACAGCTTCAGGGGCACAGGCGGCCCGCCTGAGAAATGTGTAGCACCCCGTTCGGCTTCCTCTGCCATTGGCTGGCCCACAGTCGCCCTGGCAACAGCCCACACCGAGCGAGAGATGCTACCTTTGTCTGCGGGTAGAGTCAACCCAAAAATAGGTCATCATGGAGTGCTTATAACCCATTCCATCATCTTTAGTGGTGGGAACAGAATAAGGGATGATGTGGCTGGTGAATGTGAGCGGAATTGCCAAATCAGGCTTTATCTTAATTTCAAAACAGACTCTACAGTGGGTGAAGGGGGGTTTACAGAATACAAATTCATACTCTGCAGATGCCCTTTGACCAACTTCAAAAGAGCGTCTCATTTCAAAGGCTAATGACCTTTTAACATTGATTATTGTATTAATTTTAAGTGGCATAAAATAAAGTGACAAGTGATACAGGTAAGTTGGTGATCATGGTTTTGCAAACAGGATGGGAGCTTGTAACAAACCTCTCGTCCTTATCCATGGTCTTCTTGTCAGTGGGGCTGTTCTTCTTGGGAGCGACGGGAGGAGAGACCTTCCCACAGATCTCCTGGATGCTGCGCTTGCTCTGGCGGCTGCGAGTGGCCGCCTTGGTGAGGATGCGCTCGATGGCGGTGATGCCGTCCCCGTGGGCGTGGTGGTTGGGGTTGGCTTCCATGTCCTCCAGCCAGGTGGCCGACAGAGAGTTCTGCTTGGCCGACAGCTTCTGGTGCAGCTTGATGAGCAGGGAGAGCATGCTCTCGCGGATCTCCAGGATCTCTGTGACCAGCTGGGGAGGCGTGCCGGGCGGGACCCAGCGCGTGGAGCTGCTCTTGGGCCTCACCACCTGGCTGGCCTCGGTGCTGCTACGGTTGATGATCTCCTGGAACTTCCTCCTGCGCTCCGCCACCAAGCTGAACACCTGCGCCTCCCGCACGTTCTACAACAGCAGAGGCAGAAACACACATCAGATCGCTCACACACACACTTTCCAAACCTGCAGCTCAAATAATGGCTCTCACTAAATACATGCAGATGATGTAAGCCGTTACATTACCAGCAAAAATACTGTAAATCGGATTACAGATACTTTTGAAAAACTAGATTACTTTTAAATTCAGAAAGGATGTTTGTGAAAAAAAAAAAACACAAGTCAGCGACCACTATGATGACACACCAAATACATTTTGATGGATCGCGGGAAAAGAGCAGGAATAGGCTTTTGTAGGCTACAGTCCAAACTAGGTCGTCCAATGGTGTGATTGCTGTCGGCATCCAAAGATTATACATCCAAGTTGAATAAACACTTAGAGGTAAGGATAAGAGCGTCTGCTAAATGACGTAAATGTAAGGACGACAGCAGTGGTGTAGCCTACTGGTGATACGGATATCACTTATTGACATGTACATAGGAAAGTTATGTGAATCACACTGCTGCGCTCTCATTTTGCTCTTTGCGCCGTACGGATTGTGGTTGTTGTGGATGGCTGTTGACAAATGTATGCAAGTATTTTAACCCAATAATGATTGAATTGAAGACGTTTAAGCTGCCTATCAATCATTGATTTTGCGACCAGTGAAAAATGCGCTCTTGCAACAGCTGCAGTGTGGATCCCAGCCTATGAAATACAAGTTTTAGGGAGTTGCTCCCTTCTAAACTCTGTAGTATTGTGCTACACATACTGTCAAAAACGCGTTTAATTCGTTAGAGTCTAAGACGGTGGGGGAGGGGTGGGGTGCTAAGCTGACATTTGGAATTGTTTTAAGATGGTCATACTATGGACCATTTAGCTATTTGATTTGGAATTTTAGGACCCCTTTAGGTATATATAAAAATAAAAAAAACACCAACATATATATATATTCTTTAAATATAATATAGATTTTTGCCTTTACTACTAAAGCCCATTGAAATGCATTGAATAACACGTTCATAAAATGGAAAAAAGGACAGTCAAAATGTATTATAAGAAACAAGGTTTTGAAGTGTCTGTCCTAAATCTAGGAGATAAAATAATAATAATTATATATATAAAATTCATGGATTATGTTTTAAATGCGCATAAAAGTGTGGTAAATGTGTAAATGTTCAATTTGCTTGGATTGTTTTGCCAGCTGTAGAGCTCGCAAGCTTGTAGTCCTAAAACCCGGAAATAAATTACCTGTGGTTCATTCAGCCACGCCTATGGGAAAAATGAATGGGGAAAGCATAGGGTTTTGGAATAAACGGCGAAACTAAGGTCTGAGGTTAACACAGGTTTAGGAGATCATTTTGTTCTATGAGATTATATCAGTCAGTTAACATGACCTTCATGAATTATGAAGCCTTTGTGATTGTGTTTTTTTATTATTCAATTCACAAAAAATGACGTTAGCTGACGAAGATTATCTCACAGAAGAAAACGTATAAGATCTCCTAAGTCTGTGTTTACCACATACCTTATTTTCGGCGTTTATCCAACCCCCACATAAAAAAAAAATCCTATTTAAACTTTGTAGTCAATTTTGACAATATAATTCATGTTTCTGACATATCGATGCCACATAGGCCATTTAAAACCAGAGAAGTTGGTTCTAAGGGGCAGTTGACCTTTAAGGGAAGTAATCAGATTACGTTCCTGAGTTTGGGTAATGCAAAAGTTATGTTACTGATTACAATTTTGGACAGGTAACTAGTAACGGATTACATTTAGAAAGTAATTTACCCAACACTGCACGGCAAACATATCAAAGTCACATTAAATACCCCTTCAAAAAATTCAGCTGACTTCAAGACAAGCTCAGAGTGCTAGTTCATATTCTGAGAGAAAATTCAACCCCCCCTGCTTTAAACGTGAAAAATGTTTAAACGATTGCGATGACCTACCCAGACAAAGGACCGGAGCACTGTTAAATAAACATACATCATACAGCCCAGTCAGAGCGCCATCAATCAAAGTGACATGCAGTTAAAGAGCATTTACCCAGACTCACATTATACACTTAATTATACTGAACAAAAATATAAACGCAACATTTTCAAAGATTTTGCTGAGTTACAGTTCATATAAGGAAATCAGTCAATTGAAATAAATTCATTAGGCCCCAATCTATGGATTTCACATTTATGGGATCTTTTATTTCAGCTCATGAAACATGGGACCAGCACTTTACATGTTGCGTTTATATTTTTGTTCAGTGTTGTTTCAGCAGTCAAGAGGGAAACCCCATCAGAGCACACTAAACAAACCAAGGCAGACTGCAACCTCAATATGGCTCCAAATCATAAGACACACAAATATAACAGAGGAGAGCATAACATTGTCATGAGGTTTCACACAACGGTGAGAACAGAACACACTGCAAGGCCCTGAGGAAATCAACCAGGTCTTCCTCTTCTTAATATGACCAAACAAACACTCAAATGCAAACAGCTACCTCTCTCCAATTCCCTGTCAGACGCCTGGAATTCTGTGGAGCAAAAGTACGGCAAACCAACATACGTAAAATGCTTCTAACACATAACCCGCCAAAGAGCGACCTCTCCGCATCAAAAGGAGGATATGACAGGCTCCATAACACAAAAATAACCAATATACCAAACGCATTGAATTAACATGATACCTGAGGCAAGCAATTCTGAGCCCAGACTCTGAACATGACCTGTAGTATGAATACATAAGTAGTAGCAGTACCACCCGGTGCGCAGGCAGGGGTTTTTCTGACCTGGCCGAAGTTGGATGCCTCAGCGCTGGTGCTGGGAGGGGGATCTCTCTCCCTCTTCACCTCGGGGGCAGTCTCAGGCACCCTCACCCTCACGTAGTTGATGACATGGTGCAGGTTGGAGAGGAGGTTGGTGCCTGGGAACCAGCTGTCATGGCAGTGCTCCTCAATGCAAGGCTCCTAGTCACAGTACATGAGACAGGTTAATGTAAAGAACACATAGGAATAAACAAGAGGAGGGGAAGAGCACCTTGACGGTCCCTTAATACTGAGAGCTTGGGACTATAAGGTTCTATCTGCAAAAAGACGATTGAGATAATTGGCTTTAAAGTTCCAACCCTCATTGGTTTAAATGGTGTCAACAATTCGTATCTTGTATTCTTTTGAACTTAACAACCTGAATTGGGGTATTTAGAGTACTATACAGAGGAGAACATTGAACAGAACAAGGCTGTCAACTCAACTTTGACAAAAATGCAGATAGTGCCAAGCTCTCAACATGTTGGCAACAATGTCTTTTTTTTCCTGTTGTCTTTCAGTGGCTGAAGGTCAGATAATGATCAAGCCAGTGTACATCTTACCTCATCCTCCTTGTCCTCTTGAACCTGGTTGTCCAAGCCCAGCTCAATCAGGTAGAGCACCATGCACAGAATATGCTCAGACATGTTGGAGTGATCCAGCCAGATCTAAAACAAAACATTTAATTAGAGTTCAATTACAGGGCAATCTCACCATCGTTATATCAAACAATGAAATTTCTTTGCATGACAAATTAAGCAATGAATAATATGAATGAAGAGAGCTGTTGGAAGGGTCACCTTGTAAAGCAGAGTGAAGATGACAATGTGCAGAGTCTTGCAGTGCAACAGTCTGTCCAGGCCTTTGTAACATGGGTGCAGAGGAGTCCGCTCTTTGTACGGTGGCCATGGATTCCCTGTCGTGTGCATCCCAGACTGTTTCAAGCTGGGTACAACAACAAATCAGTTCAATTCCATGCAGTAATACAGTCAATTTTAAATATTCAATAGCGATCCATTCAACATCACAAATGCATAGGTAATAATGTGACAAATAATCTTGAGTAATTTACCGCACAAAACCTTTCAGTCTATGCAATGGAACAGCTAATCGGCTGAATAGTGTCACACTATTAGCGCGGACAGGATTGTGGTTATATAAAAACGTGGCCTGGATGACAGGCAATCTATCATATTCAAACTGTGTGAACAAGTAACATAAGCCTGATGTCACAGACTGAGGTGGGGAAATAGCAGCTTCAATATGCTTCCAGGGGGAAATATGCTACCGTGTCGCCATGACATCAGGTTTACTCCGCTCAGTACTAGAATGGTTTCTTTCGACTTGTGATGAAGTGATAATCGAAAAATACCAAACAGAAATCAAATCATTCGTATTTCTTGTTCAACAAGGATAGAATTGCTTGGATTTCTAAATTGCCTTGTTCAATATAGCCTACATTTGGTATTGAAGAAATCATAGAGAAAGAAAAGCACATCAAGCCATTACCCATGTAGGCTTTCCTTGCCCTTAAACTGCTATTTCAAATTAAGAAATGCTGCCAGTAGAACACTGTACATTTAGTTACTTCATATCTTAAAGAGATCTTCAGGAAATTAACCTAACACTATCTCCTTCACCCCAACCATCACATTTGTCTTCGGAGACGTCCAACCTAAATCTAAACAGGAAGGATGGATTTCCTCAATTCTATTACAGTTTGCCTTGAAATATAGATTTTACTCGACAGTGAACTAATTGGAACCAACCCTATCACTATGTTGGCCTAACCCCGCTCTTCATTATGTAGGCCTACCCCCTCTCTTCCCTATGTAGCCTAACCACTCTCTTCATTATGTAGGCCTAACCACTCTCTTCATTATGTAGGCCTAACCACTCTCTTCATTATGTAGGCCTAACCACTCTCTTCATTATGTAGGCCTAACCACTCTCTTCATTATGTAGGCCTAACCACTCTCTTCATTATGTAGGCCTAACCACTCTCTTCATTATGTAGGCCTAACCACTCTCTTCATTATGTAGGCCTAACCACTCTCTTCATTATGTAGGCCTAACCACTCTCTTCATTATGTAGGCCTAACCACTCTCTTCATTATGTAGGCCTAACCACTCTCTTCATTATGTAGGCCTAACCACTCTCTTCATTATGTAGGCCTAACCACTCTCTTCATTATGTAGGCCTAACCACTCTCTTCATTATGTAGGCCTAACCACTCTCTTCATTATGTAGCCTAACCACTCTCTTCATTATGTAGGCCCAACCACTCTCTTCATTATGTAGGCCTAAACCCTCTCTTCCCTCCCTTCAAGGGAATGTGGGAAAAGTGACCCTGTAACATTCAGCAGGGCCTGATATCCACCCACTCAGTTTGGCATGGCTGTTCAAACATGACCATCCTAACTGTAGAACTGAACGAACTAGAACTATATAAAATACACTAAATGTACTGTTATAATAGATATGTATTCATAAATAATCATTCAAAACCTTAACTATTCACATGCTTTAAAAAAAATCACTTCGAGCTGGAGACGATGAGCTTAGTGACCGTTAACTTACAATGCTGAGTATCTGTCCATTGCTGACTGGACATCACGACGGTAGACTGTTCTGAGAACAACCATGATGGGGTCAAACTCCTTCTCCCACACCTCCTCTGGAAAACAAAGAAATCCTTTAGGGACACCTGCTAAAAAGTCACATTGACATACAATTCATATTTTTTTTTCTACTGAGCTATCAGAAAGTGGTGTTAGCCTGCCCCCAAGTGGAATGTGCAATGACCGTGAATGTGGAGTTGCAATGACAATATGATGCCTCCAATGACACTTGGGGGCAGGCTAACACCTTTTCAATGTCTATGCACCCCTCATCCCAGACAACAACCAACAAAATAATCATATCAGCAGAGAATGGCCTCATAAAACAAAACATAATACAGATTTTGTATGAGGTGAGGTCTCCATTACAAATATACATTTAAAAACTGGACATTGAGCCAAAATGGCTCAATCTACAACAAAGTCACAGGGCTGACATTAAGATAGGACACCTAATGAGCCAAATCCTGATCTGATATAAAAAGGCACAATGCTTTATAAGAGCCATTGACTTCAAAATACACTGGTCTCTGCAGCTGAGGCAATACCCTATATTTGGTAACAGGGGAGACAAAGGGTATTGATGTAACTGCCTGAAGGGCATCACAATTTCAAACGTGTGCAGAGCAATAATGAAGTCTTCCAGAGGGACCTAGTCTTGATTCAGTCTTGTGAACTGTGCAAGTCCCTAGGTTTCTGTTTTGGGTAGAACTATAGTCAACTGTGGTGCATGAGTGACCTCTCAAGGCAGTCTGGTGAAAAAGCACCTGTGATTATGTTGAATGGAAAACAATATGCTTGGTGATAATCCAACAAAGCTTTTTGACAGCATTAGGTCACACACCGTAGCAAAACATTTGCACCGTAGTAAAACATGTTTCACAACAACAGAAAATATGAGAAAACAAGTTTCTTGGTTACATTTACTTCATTTCTGTACCTAGTGAATACGCCACAGGCCAGGAGATAAAATGGACAACTTACCCTTAGGCGTGTACATGCCCTGCTGCATGGAACCCCCAGGTTCAAACACCGGGGCTTTGAAGTCAGCCACGGCAGACAGCATCTCCTCAAAGCTGCAGCTTCCCGGCACGATCCCACTCTTGGGGTTGGGATTCTCAGGAATCTGAATATTCACTTAAGGAAAGTATGCACCTAGGCAAATGTGCAACATAATAAAAGTGATCCCAAAAATGAAAATGCCAAGACTGTTGGCTGTGTGTTAAAAGTTGCAATTTTACATTGATTAAACCAGTCACAATCAGAGTCATATGTAACAACAGTGGGAAGGTCTGCTGAAAACAAGGTGTTTTTGGTGCATGTTCCAATTTGTAGAACAGGGACAACACATTTCCTTTGAGGAGTAATTACATATTCTAGCAAGGGAACAAACAAGGTCTTCAGAAAAAGTTACCACTGACAACCAGACACTAGAAAATCTGGAGACCAAATATCCAGCTACCAACTCATAAATGAGAATCAGAGAAAATACTGCCCATGGGTTAGGATATTAAATTAATTATACTGTGAATTGTGAGGCTGATAAAGCAGTGAGGATACGAGGTCCAACAGTGAACTGTGGGTGCGGTCGTTCATGCACAGTTGGGAGACCATCTCGGCTCTAAGAATCTCATCATCGGCCATGCCTAACAATGAGGAAGAAATATTCATTAATGTATCATCTATGGATAACGCCAATATAGTCAGGATGGTACAAACATTCCAATTGTTGTTCATGTACAATTTCCTTCTCCCCTGAATGCATCTGCACCTACCCAAGTGGATGCGAAGACTGGACAAGATGACGAGAAACGTCAAGGCTCCCTCCAGCATTGGCCTCTCGTGCTCACCATCCAGTATTGCATTCTGGTGCACAGAGGCCATGGTCAAGAGGTCCACCACTTTGAATCTGTATTTGAAATACATGTTACTGCTAAGGCTGTTGCAGTGGCCATATTACTACCACATCAGCAGTCATGACTGCAGTCAAATTCCACGTGACACGGTCATCTCCTCGTATGCACTCTGGACATGCGTTGGTAGTAGCCAACTCGCTAACAACCTGGTATTCAGTGCTCTATTGTCCCTCTAACATCAATGCCGATGCAATCGAAAATCACATCAAACACTTACCATCAAAACAGTATCATGCTTTTAAATGTCACCATTAGGCTAAATTAATTTGAACAACAGGTTGAAACAGGGGTGTTGTTTCAAAGCCAAACAAAGAAAATGATGTTGTTTAAAAGACAAAAAAACGAAATGGTCAGTGCTTTCTAAGGTGATGATTAACTGACAGCATTTAAGACATTGCATGTAGAACACCCATACGCATATTAGAGCTTATGCATATACAGTGCTATGAAAAAGTATTTGCAACCCTTTCTAATTTTCTCTACTTTTGCATATTTGTGATACTGAATGTTATCAGATCTTCAACCAAAACCTAATATTAGATAAAGGGAACATAAGTGAACAAATAACACAACAATTACATATTTCATTTATTTTATAAACAAAGTTATGCAAACACCCAATTCCCCTGTGTAAAAAGTAATTGCCCCCTTACACTCAATAACTGATTGTGCCACCTTTAGCTGCAATGACTAACCAAATGCTTCCTGTAGTTGTTGATCAGTCTCTCACGTCGCTGTGGAGGAATTTTGGCCCACTCTTCCATGCAGAACTGCTTTAACTCAGTGACGTGTGGGTTTTCAAGCATGAACTGCTCGTTTCAAGTCCTGCCACAACATCTCAATTGGGATTAGGTTCTGGACTTTGACAAGGCCATTCCAAAACTTCCAATTTGTTGCTTTTTAGCAATTTTCATGTAGACTTGATTGTGTGTTTTGGATTATTGTCTTGCTGCATGACCCAGCTGCGCTTCAGCTTCAGCTCACAGACGGATGGCCTGACATTCTCCTGTAGAATTCTCTGATACAGAGCAGAATTCATGGTTCCTTCTATTAAGGCAAGTCGTCCAGGTCCTGAGGCAGCAAAGCATCCCCAAACCATCACACCACCACCACCATGCTTGACCTTTGGTATGATGTTCTTACTGTGGAATGCAGTGTTTGGTTTTCGCCAGGCATAATGGGACCCATCTCGTCCAAAAAGTTGACTCAAGTTTGCCAAAAAGCACCTGGATGATCATCAAGACTCTTGGAAGAACGTTCTATGGACAGATGATTCAAAAGTAGAACTTTCTGGACGACATGGTTCCAGTAATGCCTGGCGAAAACCAAACTCTGTATTCCACAGTAAGAACATCATACCAAAGGTCAAGCATGGTGGTGGTGGTGTGATGGTTTGGGGATGCTTTGCTGCCTCAGGACCTGGACGACTTGCCTTAATAGAAGGAACCATGAATTCTGCTCTGTATCAGAGAATTCTACAGGAGAATGTCAGGCCATCCGTCTGTGAGCTGAAGCTGAAGCGCAGCTGGGTCATGCAGCAAGACAATAATCCAAAACACACAATCAAGTCTACATGAAAATTGCTAAAAAGCAACAAATTGGAAGTTTTGGAATGGCCTTGTCAAAGTCCAGACCTAATCCCAATTGAGATGTTGTGGCAGGACTTGAAACGAGCAGTTCATGCTTGAAAACCCACACGTCACTGAGTTAAAGCAGTTCTGCATGGAAGAGTGGGCCAAAATTCCTCCACAGCGACGTGAGAGACTGATCAACAACTACAGGAAGCATTTGGTTAGTCATTGCAGCTAAAGGTGGCACAATCAGTTATTGAGTGTAAGGGGGCAATTACTTTTTTACACAGGGGAATTGGGTGTTGCATAACTTTGTTTATAAAATAAATGAAATATGTAATTGTTGTGTTATTTGTTCACTTATGTTCCCTTTATCTAATATTAGGTTTTGGTTGAAGATCTGATAACATTCAGTATCACAAATATGCAAAAGTAGAGAAAATAAGAAAGGGGGCAAATACTTTTTCATAGCACTGTTTATATGAGCCCAATCCCGAAAAAAACCCTGAATTAAAATAATGATTGTGCATTTATACAATACATAGCCTAAGATGTCTTTATTCCTGAATTGGTCTAAACACTGGGTAGCTGCAGGAACATGGTTGGAGAGGCCATGGCATACAGAGTTTAGGCGGAATGCAGCGAGAGGCTGCATGCTCCTCAGACAGTGGTTGATGCATGAACTGAAATAAGTGTTCTTATAAGCCCAGACATTTCTATATGCAATCTTGTGAAAGAGTTTTGATGGTTGCCACTAAAAATAGGATCCCAGCTGCTACTATATTTAGGCCTACCCGGCATGATTTAAACTGCGGGAAAGCGGCCTCCATTTGCCATTTGATAAATGGGCCATTCTAAATCGAAACAAATATCTCATATTAGTAATATCATAATGTTTCTTTAGACCTCCCCAAAATAAATATTGGATTGATTGTGATGGTGTATATTAAATGGATGTATTAGACGTTCCAAAGGTATGCATCAGCGGCATGGAGATGCTAAACATGTTTATGTTAATTAACGGTAAATTACAGTGAGACTGGCAGTAATTTGCATGACAATAACCGGCTGACAAAATGTCATGACCGCCGCAGCCCTAGTTACTGCTGTACGCTACATCTTCACTTTCAACACTGGAGTTTTCAATGGGGTGATGATAAACAAGGTCAATGAAGTTCCGCGGAAAATGACTAATTGCAAGGACTTTTCCAACAGGTCAGACTATACCTCTCGAACACTGAAGAGATGAAGTAGTCGGGATCAAGCCTTGACGCACACACCTGTAGACAGATTGGGAAGAACAATTATACAATGGAGTATATGGCATTCATAACAGTCCATAATGTTGTGATCACCAGGAGTATGTAAGTAGTCTTTACCTGGAGCAGAAAGATGTCTGGATCGATCATGGAGTTGCAGAAGTGAGACTGCACGTATGTCATAGCCTGTCCTTTGATCTGGAGACCATTTCTGACCCACATGTTACTGTGGATCTCTGACAGGCTCGCCTACAAGAAAACACGAGGGACATAAAATGCTAAGTACATACTGTCTACCAGGGATGGGCAACTGGCGGCCTTTTGAGAATGTGACTACAGCTCAGCGTTCAACAACATAGTCCCCTCGGGACTGAACACCTCCCTCTGCAACTGGATCCTGGACTTCCTGATTGGCCGAGCCCAGGTGGTGAGGGTAGGCAACACTACCTCCGCCATGCTGACTCTCAACACTGGGGCCCCACAGGGGTGTGCTTAGTCCCATTCTGTAGTCCCTGTTCACCCACGACTGCATGACCACGCATGACTCCAACACCATCATCAAGTTAGCTGACGACAGTGGTAGGCCTGATCACCAGCGACAATGAGACAGCCTACAGGGAGGAGGTCAGTGACCTTGCAGTCTGGTGCCAGGACAACAACCTTTCCCTCAAACTCTCCCCAGTAGAGCGGGTCGAAGAGCTTCAAGTTCCTCAGTGTCCAAAATCACTAAGGACTTAAAATGGTCCACACACATGCAAACAGTCGTGAAGGAGAAGGTTGAAATTATTTTGAAAGGGCCCTCAAATCCTCAAAATGTTATACAGAAGCACTATAGAGAGCATCTCGACTGGCTACATCACTGCTTGTATGGCAACTGCACCGCCCTCGATCGCATTGCGTTACAGAGGATGGTGTGGACAGCCCAGCAAATGTTTAGATCCGCCCCATGGCAAAATGTGTAGAATTGCAGCAAACTTACTTTAAAAATGCAACATGTTTTCTTTCTTCACACCATGGCAAAAGTTATTTTGTATTTTTTTTTATTCTCTCCGTTGTCAAGAGGGGGGGACGCTAAAATGTTTTGCCCGCAAGGTGGAGGGTATCCTAACAGAATTTCACTTAGGGCCCCCAAAAGGCTAGGGCCGGCTCTGACTACATGTGTGGGTATGGATGTGGGTACGTAGACCTGCGAGCCACTGCGGCCCCTCATGACGAGTTCAGATTGTGGCCCCCCACACCCATCAAAGTTGCCCATCCCTGATGTATACAGTACATGGAACAAACATTAAGGTAATCTCCAGAACACGGTCACACGGCAACCCTTTAAAAAGCCAGTCGACTCCTCCTTCTCATATTTATAAGACACTAACAACTGTTCGGGTACGAGTCAGCCTTTCCCTTTCAGACCTTATTCACCCACACAACCTGTTCTGATATTTGAGCCATTGTCAAGGCATTGCAAAGACGTGTAATGGCCTATACTGGTGCAATACCTGAATCTGGAGTGGATGGACCATGATCTTCATGAGCATCTCTTGGTCTGGGAGGAGACTGTCCAGATGAAGCCCCTGGCACTTCACTGCCTGTGAGACAATAGACACAGTCAACTCACTACAAAGAGGGTTTAAAAGCACCAGGAACAGAACTTAAAGGGTTGTAGATCTGCCACACCTTGCTTAGGAACATGGCATAGAAGCGGTGCAGCGGCAGGTGAAACGTCACTTGATTTGGAGCAGGCTGCAGAGAAACAGAAAGCAGATATAAACACTAAAGGAAAATGTTGGTTTACAAATGCATCCTAACGGTTGTGCATATTTGCTGAGTTACCTCATCCACAAAGCCAATGGCATCAAGCCAGATCTGCAGGGTCTCCAAGCAGTAACGCACCACTGTTCTGGTATATTCCTGTGTCTCCTGAAAATAAAAAAACAATTATTCATAGTGTAATCATTTTCCTAACAGTTTCTGTGCATAATACCGGAATGTCAAATAGCTATAACGTGATCCGCACCCTGATAAAAAATAAAAATGTAAGAGGGATATTGGACTCACTTTGACTTTGCAGTGTGTGAGGAGACCCCACATTGGTTGTGCGCAGGCCTCCAACTCTGCTGCAAATGCTGCATAGTACGTCTGGGACTCAAACTCCACGTGCTCACTCAACTCCCGCTTATTCAAGTTCATACCTATGGGACCAGACAAACGCTTTCACGGTTAGTCATCACATAACACGAAGCCTTATTACAGTGGTTTCATTCACTAAAGCAGCTTAAGGGACACATCTACGTTGACATCCAGATAAATCTGTAAGAATGTACGTAAGGGCAGAGCAGTCTACACGCACACAATAACAAAGTGGCACTCTGCTCTCTGCACCTTGCCTCAGTAAGTGGATACTCCAGCCCACAGTATCTGCGGCTAGGGGTTATTTTTAGGGTTTTGGTGGACACATGGCAGGAGTGCTGCACAGACTACAATTCTAATAGAGACAAGGAGTCACATGCACCATTATTCTCTTTTTGTCAGGCGCAAATAGAATTAACAGTAAAAGTTAAGTTGGATGTGACATAACATCTGCTTTACTGGACATCTTGAACAGCTACAGCAAATAGTGACCAACTAAATAAGCAGTGACTAACCAATGGAAGGGAATCCCAGAGGGCTAACATTGCGTCATATGACTAAGCAGATATTAACAGAGACAGATGATAGTATATGACTCGCATAGATAAAGAATACACTTCAATCACACCAGCTACACTACCTGGGACAATGATTGAGGCAAATACTGAAACATCACCACTGCTATTCATATTCTTAAATCCACAAATAATTACCTTGAAAGAAGGACACAAAGCTCATCCACAGCATGAGCAGTGAGTGATCCTCCAGGAATTTTTTTGCTACACTTTGGTGTGAGAGAATATTAATAAAATCGCTAACTAACGGCCAGTAAGTGTTGTTCTTCAGCAGAGCTTCGCTGCAGTTTACCACAACATGGCGGCTGTTCTCTTCATCTGAAAATATGGAGAAGAGGGAGAGAACACGAGGCTTAGTAGTGTGAGAAGCCCACTAGATTAATTAATGAAACAATCCACTCATCAGTCTGGTCATTCAAAACATAGCTCACCTTGAAGTTCACTTTTGATAAGGCAACTCTCCATCATGTAGAGGAGGACAGTAACCATGATGTCTAGTAGTTGACACTCCTCGGTGACGTGACGTGCTAGCTCCTCATTGCTGAACAGCTGTACACTGATATGTACAATGCGGTTGGACATGGTATCTGACTCCTGGCTTTTCATCAGTGTCTTCATAATGAATGCATAATGTTGAACAAATGTTTTCGTGAAGGTGATCTACAGAAGGATGATAAATCAAGCGGGTGATGTTATGCATTTGCTGTCATAACAGCTTCTCTAGGCAAGAATGCAGCAGTGCCAATACACCATAAAATTAGGAATTAGAATATCTATGCACTACACTTAATCTAATTAAACATACCTTGTAGTCTTGATCTGGCAGCATGTTCAGTAGAAAAGTAACCATCTTCTGAGGAAACTCATACTTTATTGTCCAAAACAGCAACTCCTCCAGAAAACATTTGTGTTTCAGAGAGTCCATAATGGATGGATCTAAGAACAGAATAACATAATTGACTGGTCTCATGGTAATGCTGACTTTCACATAAAATATCTGTGCATTATTCATCATTACATAGAATGTTATGCATGTTATGTGAATTACCTTTGGCAGTGCTACTAAGTTTTACCCTCTTTCTCTGTCCAACAGATTGCCCCCCATCTTGATCCTCCTTTAAAAAAGACATAATGGGAAATAATATAACAACTACCTATATTTCAATACTGAGAAACTATTCTGATACAGTATTCACATACCTCTTTATTGGACTCATCAGGGCTAGCTGGTGCTTCAGCTCCTAAGGAAAACAGAGCAGAGACAGATAGCAGCTATTAGCTGATTATTCCATTGTTTAATGAGTCATTGAGAAACATGACTTCCATTAAGTTTCCATAATAAAAAATGGCATGCTATTTTTGACTTATTTTGAGCTCCAACTCCTAAAGAGGGGATGAGGTCTTACCCAGTAAGCCCAGAGCCCCTGTGCCAGCCCCTGCTCCTGCCTCAACCCCAGGAGTGGGCTCAGCAGCCCCAGACTGGGCCTTCTCCTCCACAGAAACCAGGCCTGAGTTCTTCAGTGCTGACAGGTACTTCTCGTAGTTCTTTTTTGCATATACGTTTTCCTCTTGACCTACAGGGCATATTTACACATTACATATTTATTAAAACATTAATTAGCATCACACCAATGCCATGCATGGAGTATTAAAGCATTAGTAGCCTAACTGCAGTATAGAGTTCTGCAATATTGATTAACTATCATTTTGATCGTTTTCTCCCCAATGGTCAGAATAACATTCAACCAAAGGCTGAATAAGAGAGTGGAAACAGACATATTTACCCATACTCAGGTCCTTGAATATTTGCTGATTCGTTAGGATCTTTGTTAGTACAGTTCTCATTGCTCCGCCCATCTTCGTAAGTTCTTCTAAGAAGGAGATCTGGGGCTCCAGCTGCTGTAAGACCTTCTGTAGGTCCCTCTCAGTTGATGTGTCTGTGAGAGTAAGATAAGATAAAAAGTTATGAAGTGTGTCAGATAGGCTCTCATGAAAACAAGCAGAATGACCTACATAAGATAAAGTTGTAAAATAACAAGATTTCCTCCAAATGTTTTGTTTTGATCTCTGAGGGCTGTTTCATTGCAAGCAGCTATGAAAGGCGCTTTTAGAGTATCCTGTAGACATAGAGATATGCTGTTTTTCTCACCTGGTTCAGTGTATCCATCCCTTAGGTACTGTATGATACAGATGATGAAGCGAGGCAGGACCATCTCTGACATCAGTAGTAAGTCTCGGGGGACTGAGGGGACATTCTCCCCGGTTCTTAACCGATGCCGTCTGCAAAATCTGATAGAGAACAACACACATCCATATATCTTTATTTCAGAAGGATCCAAAATAAATTAAAGTATTTGGGAATAATTACTCGACAACCTATCTAATGGACACTAGCAGTATATTTCATCTTCCTTTGAAAGTGCAAAATGATGTGCATTTTAATATAGGCTACTAGTATATCTGGCTGCCTTGAACAAAATGTTATGCCATGTCATTCATCAAACAAAATTACAGCAGAAAAGTAAACACATAACTCGGAGGAATGGTGGGGAGTAAGGATCAAAGAAGAGCTGAAATTTCACAGGAAGTGATTGAGTTATTCTGCAGGGAAAAGGTGTCATTATCCTAGAAACCTTGTAGGATTAGTGGTTTATCAAGCACAACAATGGCATGTTCATTGACAACATACATGTCAGTACAATTATAAAAAGGCAGGGACCTTTGTTGCATGTTTTACAAATTGACACTCCGGCGTAAGGCAGCATCCAGTGACGTTACTACCACGTATAACTTTGCTAGCTAGCTGTTAGCCATCAATCTAGCCAATCATCATTGACAGCCTAGTTAGTTAGCCAATTTAGCTAGCTAGCCATACCCCATAGTTTCTTGTTTATGTTTGATAATGTCAGTTGCTGTCAAATAATGGCAAGTATTAAGCTTCGTCAATTAATTAGAAATTGTCACTTACAATCTAGTTAGTTAGCTAGCTATTAGCCAGCTAACGCTCCTAAAGACTTACCCAGTTTCTCGCATGACATTACTGTCTCCACAGTCACAGGCCCCACCAGCCTGGCTCCTGAACATGTTGAAATCATGGCCTGTGTGATCGCCGTTGTTAAAACACTCTGCACAAAGTGACATGCAAGGAGAAATGCCACAGGTCCGACAGCGGTATGCCACAAAATTGGCTGTCCAAACCAAGCCACATAGAGTAGCGTTGTCATAGGACCGGACCGTTTTGCAGAACTCCTCGAAACCTTCTCCTCCTGCTATTAGACATTTACACCAGTCAAGGGCTTCTGTGTCTGCCGCTGGCTTTTCTGGATCAAGAACACAATCAAGCAGTTCTTTAAGTTGTCGGACACCAGAGCTGTTGTCAGTCCGATTAAGGTCTGCCTTTAAATGGGCAGCAGTAGATTTCTTGTCCCGGCATACCAGCGCCATCTTGTATGCAGGCTTGTTGTCTACAAATTTATTTTTGTTGTCTTGTTGCTACGTTCTCGTGATTTCTCGCGATACATTTCGATAATATCATTGTGGTGAGTTGTGTTCAGCGTAGGGGAGCTCTGCTCCTATTGGTTTACCCCGCTGCCTAAGCAGCGAACAGCCTGAGACAAAATTATGCACACACCCGCCAATAGGAGTACAGGTGTCCCTATAAGAGGGGACGCTTCCCCTCAATCAGCCTCCCGAGAAATGATCTTCAGCGAGACTAGAGGGTCGGCAGGGCCTTAAGTCCGATGGGGCTCTGCTCCACCATAGAACTGGAGTTACACTCTGGTAACTATTGTTCTATATTGTGGAGCTCCACCCCATAGGGGAGCTCTGCTCCTATTGGTGTAAGGCGGAGCGCAAGCTCCAAAATGTACTCCCTGCCGAGCCCAACACTTCCCATCTAAATGAAAAGGTCGGGCCTAGCAATGGCTGCGACCAAGTCCCGCAGTACTGTAACACACTGTATCACAATATACTGCGTCCTCGGTTCAAATCCGCCCCACCTAGTCCAATGGCATCACCAATGTCTGGTGGGCAGATAACCAGAAAATGGACCATACTAATCTGTACTAGCAGATAGATGGTACCTCAATATCCTGTTACAACAATACTGACCACTAATGGAATAACACAAAGTGTCACTCTACATTGTGTACACGGTAGCCCGCCCCACTCAATCAATGGAACCCCATTAGTGGGTAGATCCCAGAACATGATTCATACTAATCTGAACAAGCAGATAAATGACGTCACATTCCGTCAAAATTGTCATGACCGGTCTAATAGTACCGTAACCAAGGTTACTACTATTGTCCCTCATCATTCCGCCACAACCCAGTTATTCACTGGTGGGCAAATCAATACATGCCTTCTACTGTACTGAACATGTCAGTCAGGAGTCATGCTAAAATATGTCTTTCTATCAGAAGCAGACCTGAAAGAGACCTGTCTCCTCGGTCCTGCATTCCTCTCTCTTACCTCAAGTCCTCCCCTCAGCCACGCTGAGTACAGACTGAGCCAAAGAGTTAGAAGACATATCCAAGAGATAGAAACTGATAAAAGGAGACAGTGACGACCACGATGCCATTGCACAAATATCCTCTACTCCTGTGCCTCTGAAAAGAGCCGTAGAAGCTGCTACTCCACGAGTGGAGTGAGCTCTTACACCCTGAGGCAATGGTCGCCCCGCTGCCTCATACGCCGTCTCAATGCCTTCACAAAGCCAGTGAGACAAACGCTGTTTTGAAAGTGGTCTACCCAGTGCAGCCGCACCGTGACACACAAACAACTGAGGCGATGACCTAATCGCCGCCGTGCGCTCCACATAACATGCCAAAGCACGTACCGGGCACAGGCAATGGAGCCTCTCCTCTCTCCTCTCCCCATGAGGAGGGGGAGAAAAGGCCCACAGCTCAACGATCTGTGATCTATATGAGCTCTTAATAACCTTCGGCATAAAAGCCGGGTTAGGACGTAACACCGCCCTGCTCAAATCGCCATTAATGGCGAGGCAGTCGGCTCTCGTCGACAGAGCGCACAAATCACTGACACACTTAGCAGTGGTCAAAGCGAGCAACAGTGCCGTCTTCAATGACAGCATCTTGAGGGGTATTTGATTCAATGGCTCGAACGGCGACTCACAGAGCGCTTCGAGTACCAAAGCCAAATCCCACTGAGGAAGCGTGGCTCTAGGCATCGGCCTAAGCCGCCGCGTTCCTAATAGGAAACGTTTCACTAAAGGGTGGCTAAAGACAGTGTCTCAGCCAAACCCCTTGTGACAAGCTGAAATCGCGGCTGAAAACACCTAAATGGTGGCGGGCGATCGCTGCTTATCAAACATAAACTGCAGGAACGAGAGTACACTCTCAACCCGACAGTTCGTGGGGTCTACATTCTCTGTGACACACCACTGTGAAAACACGTTCCATTTACTGGCATACACCCTGGAAGTGGAACCGGCACATGAACCCTGTATGGTCCTGATTACTGAATCAGATAACCCACGGCGCTCTAGCCTGTCCCTCTCAGGAGCCAAGCCTTCAGTGGTTGGCCGAATATGGGCAATTGCCCTATCGAGCCCCCCGCCTGAGACAACGCGTCCCATCGATGTGGAATCGGCCAAGGTGGCGCAATCAACATCTGACTCATCGCCGCAAACCATGGAGCCAGGCGATCGGGGGACACCAATATTATTGACAGCCCGCATGATCTCACCCAGGCTAACAGTGGGAGAATACAGGAGAGGGGTGGGAATGCATACAGGAGAACTCTCGGCCACGGTCGGTGCGCAAACGCGTCCCTCCCCAGTGGCGGTTCGTCCTGCTCTCTTAGAGAGAACCATAGAGGACAAGGGAGAGCAGGCCACGTGACTCCAAAACCGTCCAACTCCACCGGCTCTAGTAGAGCAGGCAACGCGAATAGATCCACCTCGGCTCTCCCGAACTGTTCCCAAATTTGGAGAACAATGTCCAGGTGCAGACGCCACTCGTCGTCTCGAGGACCCCCTCGAGACATGAGGTCTGCTCCCACGTTCAAGTAGCCTGGAATGTGTGCTGCTCTCAACGAGCGAAGGTGCTCGTGAGCCCACAGCCACAATTCCTCAGCCGACCGGTGGAGTGCAGGAGACCTGACTCCTCCCTGTCGATTTATGTAGGCTACTGTGGTCTGGTTGTCTGACCAGACCAACACATCGCGACCCCGAAGGTTAGACGCGAAGTGGGCCAGAACCAGTCGAACCGTTTCCAACTCCAAGAGGTTGATGTGGCGACTCGAAAGAGGCCACACACCTCCTATCGCTTGGGTCTGACATGTCCCTCCCCTTCCAGTCAGAGAGGCATCTGTAAACACTGGAATGTAGGAGGACACTTTGCCTATTGGGACTCCGTGCGTGAGAACGCTCGGGTCTCTCCAATAGTTCAGATCTGCATTGAGCGAGAGAGGAACCACCACCAACCGACGACGTTGACGCACTGGGTCTAGTCTTAGTTGGGCGAACCATCGCTGCATCCTGCGCATGCGTCCCAGCGGGACCACGAAATGGGCTGACGACATGAGACCCAAGAGTGACTGACAGCGCCATTACCGTGTGATTCGGACTAAACCTTCTCAGGGCTAGTAACAGGGCTACCCTTCAAGGATCCGATGGAATTGGATGGCATAACCCTTCTCCAGCACCTGGTCTAGCCAGTGGGAGAGAGTGCAGCTTCGCCGCCACTCCCAGCAATGCAGAGAAAGCAGAAGAGCATAAAGCTGTGGTACTTTCAGTAGGAAGGACCTGTATTCCTCTATGGCCCTCGCCGCCGCTGTTCCCCAACACTGAAGTGGTGGAACGGCCCAAGGCGGGCCTCCCCAGAAAGGGAGAGGAACTGTCAGCGCGTTCTGAGAGAAACGGGGGCGCCGATACGTTGGTTAAACTCGTAACCGTAGTATTCCGGCCCTCCGTGAATGCAGCACGGGTCTGAACTGCACTGACTGAGGCGTTAGCCTGAGACAGAACGGCGTCCCCGAATAGCGGTCGCGTCATCATGCCATTATCTGGCTGACACTGCAGCCTGCTATGCGAGACACTCACTACATCACTCCTAGAAGTCTGTAAAGTGAGGTCTTTATGAGGTAACACAAGGTGGCGCCTTGATACCTTATTTACACCTGCCTCATGTGTGCGCTCAGCTACACACTCTAGGTGGGCTGAGCTGCACTCAGAGTGGTGAGAGAGAGAGAGAGAGGGTGAGAAAAGTCGAATGCTCTCGGATGTATTATGGAAAAGGGGCTCTTTAGTGACAAAGTCAGGTGGAGCCAACTCTTTATTACACACATCAACAAAAATCTTATCCTCCGTACCCTCAACAGAATGGTGGGGGGAAATAGCGGGCGCAGTCGAACTCGTTACTGTGCCGTCCTCCATTCTCTCCCCCACGTCCCGCCAAAGTGGCCTTTTTGGAAGAGGGCCAGGGACTCGAACCCGGCACGAGATACGCAGCCAGGGCGCTCTCTAGCCTGGGGATTCCCTTTGTGAAGCCCTGTTGCCTTCCCTCCAGTCTGGTGAATGGGAGGTACACTCGTAAATCAGGTCCTTTCTTGAGTTGGGCTCTGGGATGTAACAACCTTTGAGCATCTGATTTTATGGTTGATTGTGGAGGAAAGGGGTTGAGTGTGTTGGAGTATGTGAGTATGTGCGTGTGTGTTTGTCCCGCATCTGTTGTGGGGGGGTGGGGATGTTGGGGGGAGTATGGGATGGACCACGGTAATTGTTTGCTAGGATAATAATTGCTTGTCAATAAATTAAACGTAATACAATGGCAATCCGGGTTATATGTTAAAATCCTACTCATGAACTGCCTACATTATTACGCATATGAATTGATAATGATGGAAAATAAGATATGCAAGATATTTGAATAGATATATATTTTTTAATAGTTATATATAGAGAGAGGTGACAGCATTGGAAATGCTTTTGGCGGTTATTCTGCTTCTGTTTTGTGGCTGGCACTGTGTGCTGTTTTTGATGGATAGGTCCTGGCCTCTCGGGGCCCTAGGGATCCGGAGGGACGTGGGTGGGATGCCGATCACTGGGATGACGGCTCAACTTGGAATGGGGAGGGGCTTTAGCGGGGGAATTAGTGGAGAACAATTGAAGGGTTACTTAGTAGCAATGCAAATATCACAGTACAGCTATACGGACACTCAATCATTACAGTATTTTTTATTGGTAAATTTACAAACATATATAATGATAAATAGACTTGAAACTTGTATCTCATTATGGTGTATGGTGAAATAAGTATAGCCAGTTATAATTGTAATGGCTTAGCTGATAATAACAAAATAATAACTATATTTACATGGCTCAAAGAGAAGGAATATAATATATATTGTTTACAGGAAACTCATTCAACAATTCTAGATGAAGTTGCGTGGAAAAATGAATGGGGGGGGGGGGGGGGGGG